TTCATCCAGCATGAACACGACGGAAGACCCCATCTTCACGTCTGTCTCCTGGTTCGTTGATTGCGCTTCACTCCCCTCCTCACGTCACATTCACAACATTGGTCCCACAGCGTCCCAGCAATTTGGATTTAGCATTAGAAATCTCTGAACCAAATGCCTTGATATGCATCACTCTTCACCTCGGACACTTTCAAGTTAACGACAAATTCCAAGTATGGATTATTAGGATGTTAGCGATTTACGCTAGCATTTTACGCTCAGTCAATCGTTGTTGAACTTATAGATTAGAACTAATTACCTAGCGTTTTACGCTAGGGCATATGAAGATACATGAGTGACAATACAAACATGCGGTAAAAGCGTAGTCTCACCTCAGTCAATCGTTGTTGAACTGAGGGAGACGAAAGTGAAAAATTCTTCACTGCTTTTATAAGCAGTCGCCTCAATGGCGCACTGACTTTGGTAGCAGGAATACCAAGAAAGGAAATAGAGCGCCGCTAGCTCAACATCACATTGTGAGTTGGCCACAGCGTACAAGAAAACCAAGATTTCAACATGGATTCCTATCCACTGTTGACTAAACAAGACATTTACCCGCCGTTCTCAGTCGAATGAAATTCCTTCTCCCTCCCCTTCCCTACCTCGCCTGCTTACGCCTCCCGACATGACCGAGCAAAACGAGAATGATTGAAATTGAGTGACATTCGGTATAACGTACTCACGGTTCAATATGAAAATCAAAGTGGATGGTGTGTGGCTCATTGTTTGGAACTGCCATCGGCGTCAAAATGAATGTACTGTACATGATTGTGACTGTGATAACGAGAGTTGACGCTGTACAAAATGAAACTCAGGCTTAGGATTGGTCTCCCACTTCAATTGGTGAAGAGTACAGTATTGTAATGCTCGCATTGTGACTTAGCAGTCGCCCTCCGGAAATTCGCAACCAGCCGAAGGCAGTTCAACTAGTATTAAGTAATAGCGTTGGGGTATGGTTGCGTCGGCACTTGCCCTTCCCCGTGCGGCAATTGACGAGAGACCGACAGCACAGTTGGCCTTTCTGCATCATATTTACGCAGTCATAGAAGCTGCAGTCCTACTTGGCCTGATTTGGTTCCAAGTATCAGCCTTAGGGGTTTGACTTGTCATGATCAAGGAGTTGCGACGAGGACTGGAACATCGCACCCACGCGAAAGGGTCAGTGCGTGCATCTAGCACACTCCCTTCGGATATTATACACGAAATTGTTCACTACCTCATCCCATGTCACTTGTATCCCGGGGATGATGGCTACACATCTTCTTTTCGTCAATTTGTGACGAGTTACATCCAGAAACGTGCCGCTTTGGCATCTCTCGCTCTCGTCTCCTGTAATTGGGTCGACCCTGTGATGCGTGGCCTCTATCGTAAAATCGCAATATTCATCTGCACCGAAGCATCCGTATATTCTCTCCGCGAATCACTAAAGTCCCATGGGAACCTCGTTCGAACCATCATTCTCGACTCTCGAACCCGTCATTTGAAGGACCGACCGTCTCTCATCGACAAGTTCCCCGATCAGCTGACTCGGTTCAATCAGAGGGCTATGCTGATAAATGAAATTATCGCATCATGTTCGCACCTGATAGGCTTGGAGAGTTTTGGCTGGTACGATGATGCCTTTGCCGAACTCGCCCAGTTCAATGACAATTTTGAGATTGTTGTCGCTCCTTCAACTTCCATGAAACATTTTACGTGGACGAGTGGGTGTTATTCACACGGGCTGCGCTGCGCTCTCCAGCACCTATCTCGGACATTAGAAACCTTGATTATCTATGAATGGGATCCAATCACTCCTATGTCCACATTCCGCCGGCTTTTTACTCCCATCTCGCGCCTCCCTTCTCTTCCACGACTTTCAGAAATTCGTCTTAAGAAAACCTCAGGCCCTGAATTGCTTCATATGCTTGAGCTTTTGAAATGTACAGAATGTGTCGGGGAAGATAAGAATGTTACTTCCCGTTTACGTGTGCTAGAAGTGCAGCGGCCACACTATTTAACGCCCAAGGATTTCTTATGGATGATACAAACAACCAAAGCGTTTTCCAATCTCAGGACGTTGATCCTCACCTGTCGTCCGGTCGGCTCAGACCAGTTCCCTATCACCAAAACATGGGAGTGGCATGACTATTCCGAACTCCCTTGTGCACTTTTCCAAAGCTCCCCACATTTAGAAGAGCTCTCGCTCCTCAGTCCAATTCCACTTTCTTCATTTTCCAAACCGCCTGAAACACTTCGCATATTGCGCACCCTGATTTGGCGGAGTTATTTTGGGCCGCGTGAATTCATGCGCTTCCTGAACTCTCCATCGAGTCGAAATCTGAAGCTTATCGAGCTACAGCACACCTCGAGGACGGCGATGGCGAAGTGGAAAGTTGAGATGGAAACTGTGTTGCAAGTCGGACGTCGTCTTGGGAAAGATATCATCATCCCGACTGAAATTTATCCTGAGCCCCAATTTAGACAACCTGGTGCAATAATCACCAGAATCACGCGGTATAGTCGCTCTGTATGTATTCCCGCAGTGGACAAATCTATCCAGAAACCCCGCAGAGAGCTGAATGTCGTCTTGGAACAGGTGTCGTTATACTAATTTACCCTCTAACTCATCCCGCGTCATAGCCAGACAACCTGCGGTGACAATAAAATACGAAATTTGGGCAAAAGTACCCGGATTAACATTTGGATCCCACGTACCGTGGGGTGCCCCGAACGAATGTTACGCACTAGGGCATGATCGAACTCGAAAACATCCTCTGGGCCTTACCCTGCCGCTTATTATGCTATCTTGCTTTGCCCTTCGCTGAGACCCAGTGCCCTGTTCCATTTCCTCCTCGTTCTCACCTTCCCTCCTGCCCACACCTGTGCCTCTTGTTTCATCCAATTGGTGGTACGAGCACCCATTTCCTCAAAGTACAGTCCCCCACCATGCCGGAGCACAGACCCACGTCCGGCGCTTCAGGGATGGCACAAGAGGACTCGAAGAGGATGGTGTTGGGATGCAAAGTCCGAGGGAGCTCCTGGAGTAAATGGCATTCCATCTGGGTGAGCAGAAAAGCATAGATCGAATCCCATAAATGGGCGGCGCCCGACCTGGCTGGGGGGTGGACATATGTTGGGCACTACTAAGCCCGGTGTCCTGCTCACTGGGTGATCGCTCAAGTTGCTTGAGGCAGGGGAGTCGAAGAACGGGATGTACGAGGGTTTCCCCAGCGGCCTGACGAGCTGAACGAAGTTGCATGTGACTCTCGATCTCATGGTGCCCAGTCGAACCAGTATTTGCGGGGCTAAGGCCTATTCAGTAAGTCGCGGCCCCGAATGCATTAGGGTTTTGGGTTCGGGCCTCGGAGGCAATTTCAGTGTCTCGGCATCTTCAAAGAGATCATCCATCGTATCTTGGGATCCTTCCATGTCGGGATCCTGCCGAGCCACACTCACATCGCTGTTGTGAGAGCGAACGGTGCGTGGCCATGCAAGCGAGTTTTTGACACACTTGTTCGTCAACTAAGTCACGAACGAGCACCCAAAGCCCGATTGCTGTGTTGTCCAGAAAATTTGGTGCGAATCCTTCGTCGACAAGAATCATATTTGCGTTCCCCCCCTCATCTTGTACAGGTAGATACAACCGTAATGTCGTATAACACGTCCGTGCAGCTTCTCTTCCAACAGGCTATCGATCATATATCGATAGAGTTGGTCTACCGCTTTCCTTGTTTAGCAGAAAGAGGCTTGTTTTTCATTTCTATCACCAAACAACTAAGGGCATCTGAATCGTCGTCGACGAGTTCTGCGTTGGTTACAACTGTAACGTCGGGCCGTAGAAGTTCGCGTTGATCCGCTTCTCATCTTCCAGGGTATACTGCGGCATCGGCCTGTATAAACTATCTTCCGGGAATGTGGCGTTCAGACCAGCATTGACCGGGGCCATAGAGTATCGTCTCATCAACTGGCCTCTCGATGCCGAAGCACCTAGAATGTTGCTTCCTTTGCCTCCCTAGAGCCCTAGGAAGGCGATTTCGATCCACAACAAGGAATCTTGGCTGGAGTATTTGATGAGAGCTGTGCTTTTGACGATCCGACAACCTCAAGATGACAGGCAACAAAATGTTGGAGGGGCTGGATTTCGACCACGAAGGGCTCGGATGTGTCCTATTTGAAGCCTGACTCCATGCTCGATCATCAAATCTGACGCATGCATATCATGGTACCGGACCATGTACCAGCAGCAGATTGAGGATTTTCTCTTTCACCTAGCAACATATGGCACCTTTCAGAAGCTACCTCTCCGTATAATTTCAAGGATCGAATGAACCCCCAGAGTTCTTCCTGATAAAACCCGAATCCTACACCTGACCCAGCGTCGAAGGTGCAGACAGGAAGCGAAAGAGGTGTCTAATATTACGAAGTCATAGAGGCTGGTCACCTGCCTAAGCTAGCTACGGCATACCACAAGTTTGCAGTGGCGAAGTGGAAAGCCGAGATGGAAGATCTGTTGCACGCCGGACGTCGTTCATGTCATTGCACCTGATGAATACTAACTATATCGTCACCCAAAAGGAGTACAAACATGTTCTGCCAGGATAAATCATTCTCCTGACATGTGTCGAAACAGGGAATCAATTTCATACCCTCCACACACACATGCAAGGGAAAGGCGTCCTCAAGGACATTCTTCATGTCGTGGTATAAAAAAAATGGAGTTATCTGCGCTGGATGCCATCGGAGAAGCACGGAGTGTTATAGCGTCGGCTCGGTTTCTCGACGGTGAACCAACTGGGGTGTTGAGTGAATGATGATGTTGAATGTTCGAAAGTGAAGGTCAAAGCGCGTAGAGCGCGGCGATCGAAAGGAGAATAAAAAGAAAACAACGATTCTGACCAGTGGCCCGAGTCACGTTAAGCGCCGGTAATCGCCCTCGATTCTCCAACAGGAGGGAAATGATTACAGAAGCTGAAATATGGCTAACATCCTATAACTATGGCTCCATAGGGGCCACCGTGACTGCACGTATTTAAGAGGTCGGATGTGGAATACCTAAGAATCGGCGCCACTCACTCGGACTCCTTTCCCGCGAAGATGTTGGGCACCGCACCGGTAGAGCAGTTCTGATTAGTGTTATCCTGCCCTTTACAAGCGTACCAATCCCCAAAGGCTGTCCCCGTGGTGACGATGTGCTTCTCTCCTGAGGAATGGTGATATCCCATGGAGCGGTACGGGAGGGTAGGGATTGGATCCTTTTTACTGAAGGGAAAAAAGAAAAATTGTCAGTTAATCTCTGTGACGAGAGTAAGCTGGATAAGGGGGCAAGTTCACTTGGTAATGCGAGCAAGGTTAGTGACATGGGCGTCAACGTAGTCGGCGAAGGCTTGATTACCGACGCGTGGCATTCCAAAAGTGTTAGTGTAGAATACTGTATCAGGAGGGAGGTGAAGCGGGAGGTAGACAGCGTCAAGAAGCGCAATGGCTCCTCCTAACGGGAACTTCAGCCTTTAGTCCAGTAAATATCCCAGCATCAGCAATCCGTTCAAACTCACCAAGTGAATGCCCCATGATATAGACCGTCTTCGATCCAGTAGCTTTCATGGCAATGTTCACCGCCACTAGTACCCCAGGGGCCGAGCGCGAATGTGTACCAAGGAATCCACTATGTGCTTCAACTGAGGAAGGGAGGCCGGGAAAGAGCTTGGGGTTGGGCCTCTCGAGAATGATATCCAAATCGAGTAAATCAGCTTCGAGCTCAGACGGGTTCGTTCCCTGATGACCGACGACGATAGCTCCAAGATGGTTCGCGTCATAACCGACATACCCTGCTCCGCGCGTGTGAGAGCTGGATCGATATCACTAGGCTAAACACAGAAAAACACACAATATTGTGTATCAGAGCCATCTCCGCCAGTCCCATAGATCTTTACGCCAAGTAATGCATCGCACTTCCCTAGCACCGTGGCAAGGAATCAAGCATGAAAAGGATGAGCCATCCGCAATGGTTTTTTTCGCACCTCCACAAGACCAGGAAGCAACCATAGTAGGTGTACAATACGCGACCGATGCAAATTGGGCGGGAATAGCGTATGAGAGCTCCTGAGAGGAGGCCATGGGATTTACAACAGTAGATCTAAAGTCCAACCTGATGGGGAATGTCTCGACGCCAGAGGTCATCGCAGCAAGTCCAAGGAAGACTGGAGCGATGAACATGTTGGAAGTTACAGCCCGACGCCACTGGCGGTCCTAGGACCGTACATTCGCGCTTTGAGAGCTTTGGGAAGGAGGCACTTTTAGGGCAATCGACGGAGAACATAATGTCGCTTTGGCCCTTTGTTTTCACGCTTTGGCTACCGCACGCGTTTCACTTCAGTGGCGTAGAACTGACATTAAATGTATATAAGGACAGGACTTGCACTGAGAGCCGATACATCACAATAGACGTATCGCGCTTCTCAGTTTAACAGGTTATCAGCCCAGCTCTACTCCACCGCTTCGGAAAGTCAACCAAAGACGCCTGGCACTGTTGAACTACTTGTTCTGATTCGCCGTACCTTACTTGTTCTGGACTAGCCCCGAGGAACACACTATGACCCTGAAAGACTCAACCATCGATAAGGCTGTCTTTGCTATCGCTAAGTTGAAAGGTCGCGACGACTGGAATAGATGGTCCACCAATCTCCGCTTCGCCATGGGTTATACCTGGGGATATCTAGATGGAAGCCTAGTTGAACCATCCGATAAGACAACGACTGAACATGCACAATGGATTGAAGGGGAAAGCAATACTCGCCGAAGGCTGTGGCTCTCCCTCAGTGACCCGGTCCAAGACAACGTCTTCCGTCATGCCCAGAGCACCGCTGCAACCTTGTTCCAAGCCTTGAAGGGTGTTTACCAACACACTGGAGCTTCTGCCGAATACTACGCAAGGACGAAGTACTATGAGGCCAAGATCAGCGATTATGAATCTATTTCGGATTTCTTATCCGGCCTCATGAACCTCGCCCATGAAGTAAACAAACACATACCTGGTGACCGAGGACGCATCGAAGACCGTATGATCGCCATGCAACTCATTCACTGCCTCCCATCCTGCATGAGCACCTTGCAGACCATGCTTGTCCAGAATGCCCCAGCAGCGACCAGCGACATGGATTGGGATCTTGACAAGCTGAGGAGGGAAATAGAGACTGAAGAACTCCGTGCCCGAGTAAACGGAATGGACCTTGGAACAAAAGTCGGACCCACACATACTCCGAAGGCACTCGCCGCAGAAGAAAACATGAAGGGAAGAAGGAATGACCCTACTTGGGTAACGCGCCAAACGTGTTGGAAGTGTGGAAAGATGGGCCATCTCCGAACAAAATGCACAGCGACAGAAGCTGAAAAAGAAGCGTATCAGCAGAAGAAAGCTGCTGAGAAGGAGAACGCAAACGCAACTGAGGAGGCAAAGGCTTTGTGTGCAGAAAGCGTTGCGAATGCTGCGTCAATCACCGATGCGCCAAAGCCCTGGATCGTGGACTCAGGGTGCAGTAACCATTTCTGTCCAAACAAGGACGACTTCATAGAATACACACCTTTTGACCCCCCACGCCAAATCGCTCTTGGGAATGACAGTCGCGTCCCCTCCTTGGGTGAAGGAACCGTCTTGATCGGCTGCGTCGCTAGAGGGAAGCGTGTCACCTGTCGGATCCAGAACGTACAGTACGTACCCAGCCTCAAGTATGGTCTCCTGTCTTGCAGGATCCTGATTCGCCGAGGAGTCCGGATTACGTTCGGTTCCGATGATGTCTGCAGAATCGAGGGAGCAGATGGGAAATTAGTTGCTGAGTCACTAAAAGAGTTCGCACCCATGTTCTACCTGAATCACCCATCCTCGCAGCTGACATCTACCATGACTGGGAGGGCAAACCCGGCTGTGGAAGCCCCCATCCCCTCTTTCGATCTTCTCCACAAACGTCTAGCCCACCCTGGTAAGGATGCGTTGAATGAGATGATAAAGAATGGGTCAGTTCTGGGAATGGAGAATGTTCGGGATGACTCGAAGGGTTTTGATTGCGAAGCGTGCATTAGGGGGAAGATGACGAGAGGTCCTTTCGGGAGGGGACATGAGATAGCTGACAAGAGGCTGGGGCGAGTACACTCCGATGTCTGCGGACCTATGGAGGTGACGTCACTTGGAAAAAGCCGATACTTCTGCACACTCGTGGATGACAAGACGAGCTTCACCTGGTTCTATTCATGCTCACTTAAATCAGATTTCACGGCGTGGTTCATCAAAATGGACACATACTTTGCGAATCAGTACGGGACCCACGTCAAGATCTTGAGGACGGATAGGGGGGGGGAATACCTGAACTCCATCCTGGGGACGTATTGTAAAGACAAAGGTATTGACATGGAGCAGACGGTCCCGCACACGCCTGAGCAGAACGGAGTGGCTGAGCGAGCTAATCGGAAGATCTTGGACAAAGGACGAACCTTACTGAAGGATGCTGGGGCTCCGGACTTTCTATGGGCCGACGCTTTCGCCACAGCCGTCTACGCCATGAACCGGACCATTGACACTCACTCAAATGCGACGACGCCTTTTGAACGATTTCACGGAAGGAAGCCGAATGTCGCGCACATGAGGGTATGGTTCGCTGACATATTTGTTCACCAGCCGAAGGATTTGGGAGCGCAGAAATTGGGGGAGAGGGGGCGGCCGGCAAAGTTTCTAGGGTACCCAGAGAGTTCTTCCGGATACAAGGCGTACGATGAACGGACTCACAAAGTCGAAATTGTTCGCGCGCCCATTTTTCGGGAAGAAGCGAGGATCCAGCCACGTGCCGTTTTCGAGTCAAGGGCACATGATGACCCCGGTGACGAGTCAGATGATTCGGATCACCTGACAGAGGCGGCAACCCCCGGACCCACGCCTGTAAGTCCACCTCGTGATCCTCTCACCGAAAGTCCATCAGATCAGTCCCCCACACCTCCCACCGTGCCCACTGCTGCCACCCAGCCCGTTGCTCGACCACAGAGGGAACGACGTCCACCTCATCGCTTTGATCCATCAGACTATGGCGCACATGGCCGACGCAGGGACGAGATCGCGAACGTATATGAAGATTTTCTGAACGAGGTACCGATTGCAGCGACCGTCACCACGGAAGATGTCCTGGACATTGTATTGGATGAGGCCCACCTGGCAAACCCCATACTGACTGAGGACACCGATCTACCAGATGCTCCAACCTTGCGAGAGGCCTTGGCTGGGCCCGAGCGGGAACAATGGCATGCCGCCGTACTAGAGGAGCTCGCTGCCATCCGGGACGCTGGCACCTGGGACCTTGTTGACCCATCCTCGAGCATCCGTAACGTCATTGGCTGTCGATTTGTACTCAACAAGAAGCGTGGTGCTGATGGAAAAGTGACCCGTTTTAAGGCCCGCCTAGTTGCTCAAGGTTTTGGTCAACGGGAGGGAATTGATTACTCGGAGACGTTTGCTCCCGTTGTAAAATCGGCCTCTCTACGTGTTTTTCTCGCCATATGCGCTCGCCACGGTTGGAAAGTCCGCCAGATGGATATCAAATCGGCATATCTCAATGGGGTACTCTCGGAGGACATTTACATGCGTCAGCCAAAGGGATACGAGGAAAAGGGGAGGGAACAGATGATTGCGAAGCTTAAGAAGGGGCTCTATGGATTAAAGCAAGCTGGACGGGAGTGGTACGCAACCTTACATGACTTCCTGATTCAACTTGGTTTTCGCCGAACACATGCTGACCACTCGGTCTTCGTATTCAAACGAGGACGATCCATCGTAATCATTCCCGTCTACGTTGATGACAAACTTCTTGCTGGGAACGACGAAAAACTGCTTGCATCTATCCAAGACACCATCGGGGACCGTTTTAAAGTTTCCAGCAAAGGAGAAGCATCGTGGATCCTAGGGATCCGAGTTTGCCAAGACATATCAGCCGGCATGCTATCAATAGACCAGTCACAGTATATCAAGGATATCCTTGCTCGCTTCAACATGACAGACTGCACGCCATGTGTCACACCGTTACCCACTGGGATACACTACAAACCAGCATCAACAGAAGAACATTCGAAAGTTTCCTCGTACCCCTTCCTCGAAGCTATTGGTTCTCTCATGTATGCCGCTCTAGGAACTCGCCCGGATATCTGCGCGTCTGTAAGAGCGCTGGCACCATTCGCATCGACTTTCGGACAGGAACACATCGAGGGACTCAAGCACATAATGAAGTATCTCGCAGGGACTATGAACCGAGGGATAGTATACACAACCGGGGGAGAAGACCTCATAGGTTATACTGACGCAGATTGGGCGAACGACGTAGTAAACAGGAAGTCGGTATCCGGATACGCCTTCCTCTTGTCTGGGGGGGTGATTTCGTGGATGTCAAAGCAGCAAGTAGGTGTGGCAGGATCCTCGACGCATGCAGAGTACGTTGCAGCGGCCGAAGCAGCCAAGGAAGCGATCTGGCTCCGACGGCTCCTGGAGGAATTGCACGAAGGAACATCCAGTCCGACCACGCTACACATCGATAATCGAGCTGCGAATCTACTCGCCCGAAACCCCGTCAATCACGCTGCGACCAAGAGCATCGATGTCAGGTACCACTTCATACGGGAATGTATCGCGGACGGAACGATTGACCTGAAACTCATTGGGACGAACGATATGGCGGCCGACATACTCACGAAGTCCTTAGCCAAGGTAAAGCACGATCGCTTCTGCCTAATGCTGGGGATGGAGTTTGTGGCCTAGATGGATACGTGGACGTTGGGCTGTGGGGGAGTGTTGGAAGTTACAGCCCGACGCCACTGGCGGTCCTAGGACCGTACATTCGCGCTTTGAGAGCTTTGGGAAGGAGGCACTTTTAGGGCAATCGACGGAGAACATAATGTCGCTTTGGCCCTTTGTTTTCACGCTTTGGCTACCGCACGCGTTTCACTTCAGTGGCGTAGAACTGACATTAAATGTATATAAGGACAGGACTTGCACTGAGAGCCGATACATCACAATAGACGTATCGCGCTTCTCAGGTAAGTCCACCCATCACTACGTACATACATCACAATAGACGTATCGCGCTTCTCAGTTTAACAGAACATTATGACGATAAGATCACGATCCAAGGAAGGAGGGCGCTACTGAGACAGTTCAGTGTGAGGTGCATCGAAGCTTATATATGCATGAGTATTCCCGCTATTCTGTGACCCCCTTCCTCTAAAATTTGCAAAGTAAATTTTTCTCACGGGCCTTCGAGTTTACATCTTCCTCCGACAAGCGCGCTGCCCTTTACTCACACTATCCATCATTTGCTTCGTCCCCCTTTAGTACACCATGGAAGGGTATATCTCCGCATAGCATGTGCATGAATCCCTTGCAGATCGCAGGGTTCGACGTCAAGTCACCCAAACTCCAACCCCACGCACCAAGTAATTCACCCAAACGAGGGAATCCCGTTCTGGGTGTGTGTGGCAGATCTTTTTTTAAAAAAACATGGCAATAAGTAACCTCTCGTTTTACGTATGTTAGAGGCGGAGGCGGTGGGACGATCATACTAATGCACTGGTCAATACTCAAGGACTACCTATAGATGATGTAAAACCATTTCACATCTTAACACACTCTTTATAAATTCGTTCAGACTGCTTACAGCAAGGTGCAAAAAACAAAAAACGGCGCGCGCGATTTAAGGGCCAGGATGATCATGTGATCATCCCTCTTTAGGAAATGACAGCCGATCATAATTTATTTGCTGCCATTTTTTGGCGGTATTATTCTGGACTGCGCATTGAGCGCACGCATCTGTTATTTACGAATTACTGGGTATCTGACGCACATTGAGCTACGGCATTACCTCAACATCTGCGATGGTCATGTGGGAAGCCGAGATGGTGCATGCCAGACGTTGTTTAGGGACAAATATACTCCAGACATCCTGATCCGATAACAAACAAAAAACAGTTATTAGAGACACAGTACTCCATTGCTATCCATACTGTCCCTGAATTGTATCTGATAACTACACGAATAGCATGGTAAAAAAATAGTGTCCGCCCCGAATGGCGATAGAAGCCGCTGGAGAAGGGGGGGGAACGATCCTGGAAGACAAACGTGCCTAGCATTCTATAAGGATGGCTCCGTAAGGGCCCTTATGACTACGTATATTTAAGAACTCTGATGTGCCAGTATACCCAAGAATTGCCACTCACTCAGAAATATCTCCTTCCAAGATATTGGGCACCGCTCCCGTAGCGCAGTCGTCGCTAGTGTTGTCCTGACCTTCGCAAGCGTACCAATCTCCAGAAGCTGTCCCCGTGGTGACGATATGCTTCTCTCCTGAGGCGTGATGGAATCCCAAGAAGCGGCCCGGAATGATAGGGGCCAAATCCTTTTTACTGATGGGAAATATTGTCAGTTCATCCCTGTGGCGAGAGCAAGGGATAAGGGACAAGTTCACTTTGTAATGCGAGCAAGGCTAGTGACATGGGCGTCAACGTAGTCGGCGAAGGCTTGATTACCAACGCGTGGCATTCCAAAGGTGTTGGTGTGGAATACTGTATCAGGAGGGAGGTGAAGGGGGAGGTAAATAGCATCAAGGAGCGCGATGGCCCCTCCTGAAGGGAATCAGTTTGAACAACTTCCAAGTCAGCACATATCCTGGCATCTTCAACTCACCAAGCGAATGCCCAACGAGGTGGATCGTTTTCGAGCCGGTAGCCCTTATAGCAGCCTGTACCGCCGCCAGTACTCCTGGAGCTGAGCGGGAATGTGTGCCGAGGAACCCATTATGTGCACGAACTGAGGCAGGGACACCGGGAAAGAGCGTAGGGTTGAGGTTCTCGAGGAAGAAATCCGCATCGACTAAATCAGCTTTGAGCTTGGATGCGTCCGTTCCTTGGTGGCCGACGACGATAGCTCCAAGATGATTTGGGTCATAACCCACATACCCTGTTCCAGGCGCGTAAGGAGAGTTTGGTATCACAAGGCTAATATAAAAATCTAACAATATTGGGTATCGGCCCCATTGCCCCCAGTCCCGTAGATCTCTACGCCAGGTAAAGCATTGCAGTTTCCTAGAATGCCAGAATCATCAAGCACGAAACTTAAAAAAAGGTGAGCCGCGACGATTTACGCACCTCCACAAGACCAGGAAGCAATCTGAGCAGGCGTGCAATATGCGGCGGAGGCAAACAGGGCCGGAACAGCGTATGAGAGTTCCTGAGAGGAGGTCATGGGGGTCACAACGGTGGATCTAGAGTCCAACCTGATGGGAGATGCTTCGACGACAAAGGTCATCGCAGCAAGTCCCAAGAAGACTGGAGCAATAAGCATCATGACGGCAAGATTACAGTCTAAGCAAAAAGGGCGCTATTAAGACTGATACTAGCCAGTGCGAAGGTGCATCGAAGCCATACGAATGCATATATAGCTTTCGCGTTGAATCTTCCAACGTAAACCGCTCCTCTATCTTGGGATCGGAAAGGGGGAGGGTGTATCCCCCCTGATACTGATAGACCAATTCCCCTGTTCATTTGCCGTCAAGAGCTGCCCCCATTTCAAGTCTTTCGTCGTCGCGAGTGAAAGGAGTACAAACATCTTCCGTCAGGACAAATCATTCCCCTGACATGTGTTTACTTCGGAACCACTTCATCAAATCAGGGGATCAATTTCATATGCAAGGGAAAGACTTCAAGCCAAAAGTTGGTTCATTCTCCATTGGAAAAAAAAAAAAGCAGACGCACAGTTCTGCCTTTAGGATCTTCCTTGGGATTGTTATAATAAGGCAATAACAAGCTAATTGCGGTGTGGTCGATCTTTAGAACCCATTCATCGATATCTCATTATAATAGCGCAGAGATTGACCGAAACAAACAGAACTGGCGCTCGTTCAGAAGAATGCCCTAGACGACCTGGGCCTGAAGATCACTCATTCCGCGTGGCGTTTGAGGCGTATGCACATGTGTAGTTAGTTTGTTATCCTGAGTATCTTAGGATCAAGTTAGGCATTGTAACATCCGGGTATCCTGGCGATAGTGTGTAACGGAGCCCACGTCTAGCTGTTGGCGTTTGGTCAGAGTGTTTGTTACGCAAACACTTTGCTCCCTGTCACATGAGCGTGACACGCACAGGAATAATATTGTGACAGGCTTTTCACCAACCGACTTCAGTGCTGGGTACTTATGGCGTCTGCATTCATGCAATGGGCTAGGAGCCCGGCGGCCAAGGAGTACTTTTTAAGTGAGTTTTTGTCCTCTCCCTTTACCTTCTCAGTGATCTTGTCTTCCTTTACTCACCCCAACGCCCTTGTTGACCAGGTACACATTTTTGGGGACCTGTATGTTCAACATTTTAGGGTTAGAATGGGATTGCCTACTATCTCTTCCACCCCCGTTTTTTCTTTTGGCGCAGTTAGCGAACTGGGGTCTACCGTTGGCTGCCATTGCCGATCTTAAGAAAGATGAGGAAATAATATCAGGGTCAATGACCACCGCCATGACCTTCTACTCGTAAGTGCCCTTAAGACAAGAAGGTCTATATTCGTTTCCCTTAGCTGACTTTTTCAAATGCTGTGATCGTGTCGTTGTCCACAGGTTGACATTCATGCGCTTTGGTCCGTTGGCAGGCCGCTATCTCTCCAATGTCCCATTATTGTGTTAATACTTTTCTCTTGCTCAGCTTGGCGCGTGCAACCGCGGAACTATCTTCTCCTCGCTTGTCATTCAACGAACGCTACAGCCCAGTCCATTCAAGGCATTCGATTCATAAATTACTGGTATAACGGTGGGCGAGAAGCCAAGCTCGCGAAGGCTGGTGAAGCTCCTAGTGACGCTGAAGTAGCGGTCGATTCTGCCAAAGTTAAGGTCGAAGAAAAGGCAGTAGGGGCTGCCAAGAAATAGACCTTGTCACTTGCACTGCTAGATCTTTATGTATGATTCACAACTTTTCTAATTTTCACCCCACCAAACGCATAGGAAATCGTTCTGATTCACGAAGGCACAACAACGACTATGTGCTCGACAGACTGCGCCAGGGAGATAAAGGGATATAATTGAGCAAGGAAGGTACTTCGTATGTCGCTTGCACAATTTGGGTTTGCACGCAACACATGGTAAGAAAGAGAAGAGAGGACAAAAAGCGTTAACGAGTGTTGGGCAAAGGGATACAGGAAAATTTCACCAGCACAAGCGGGATTCATGAGAAATTGAGCATAACAATATAAGAGAGGGGGAGGGCGGGAAAAATACGCTGTACTTAATCTTCTTCCTCTTCTTCCATGACATTATGAAGAGGAGCTCCGTGAATATACCGACCTGGACTTGGCATCCTTGGAATAAGGTCAACAGCTGGTGGAGGTTCGAGGGGGTTGTCTTCCTCTAGGTCAACTTCGTCCTCAGCAAGAGTGTGCAGAGGGGCAGTGGTGCGAGAAGCTACCTGTTGAGAAGCAAGAGGGTCTGGAAGTGGAGGTTGACGGACAGGTGACTGGGTTTGTGAAGGGCTTTGAGTCGATTTGATGACGCTGACTGGAATGCCAGAGGAGCGAAGGCGGGGGGTGGGGGATTCAATATGGCTCTGGCGGAGGATCGGTTCGGGGGGTAAGGCAGGGTCTGGTATTGCAGGGAGTTGGCGAATTGGAAGACGAGATGGGCGCGGAGACTGGGAGGCGGCAACATCATCATCCTTCTGTTGATACATTTGAATCAGGGAGGTGATACCGTTCCCAGTGGTTTTTGGCTGTTGGGGAACAGGGGAAATGAGGCCAGGAGCCTCACTTTCCAGGATCGGTTTACGTGGTGGACGTGGTGAAGGTATTGAAATCCTCACCGGGGCTTGCGGAATCAGACTATCTCCCTGTACTCTAGGAGGTTGAGGAAATTCCACCTCTTCGGGTGTCCGGCTGGAGCTGGTATCATCGTTTTCTTGGAGGTCTCTGTATCCCTCTATGCCAATCTCGCGATAGCGAGAGAATGTCTCCCGGTAATTGGGATCCTGCTCAGATGGGGCCGAAACAATGGAAGCTATAGTTGGAGATTGGACGCGGACATCAGGAGCATCTGTAGGAATGCTCATCTTCGATTCTTCCTGCGAGGAGCGATTACTCGGGTTGCGAAGCTCTTCGAGACGTTGGGCGAAATCGCCTGGGCCCATCTCCTCCGAAAAGCGCAAGTTACCACCAGTTTCCATGATCCTCTGAATCTCAGCTCTAGCCTTTTCGGGATCCGACAGAGATCGCATTTGTCGTGTTCGAACCCCAGGGCCATTAGGGCTCACTGCCCTCCCTCCTGCTTCCAGAACTAAGATATCGACCCAAGCGTCATCCTTGCTTCCTCTTCGACGATGACCTTGATCGGACTTTGGGGGAAGCTCGGGTGCAAGGGAGTCAAGTGACGAGCTGGACTCCGTTCTCGTCTCAAACTTGATGTTTGTGTCATAGTCTGCACCCTGAGACCTCGGCTTCCCAAGCCGGAACCGTGGCAAAGGCACTGTGGACTTCTGAGGGGGGCGGGGGGGAGTTTGAACCAAAGCAAGGGATTCAGAGCGAGGTGGTACATGCGAGGGGACTGACATCTGTCGTTCAGGTGAAGAGGTACGAGGCTGCTCACCCTTGGGAGGTAAGCGGAAAGGAGAACGCGATCTCACTATGCGATCTCCACGAGGAGTTGAGAAGTCATTATGAGTGGCTGGTGGAGGTGTGCTGAGACTGATGATCTTCGTCTTGCTTTCTGAATGCCGGAGCATAGCATCGAACTCAAAATCCTTGGGGTTCGGACTTCGAGGTCTACCAGTATATGGCTGCCCGTTAAGCGTAGCAGCAGGCTTCCACCCTTTCTGCTTATTAAGAGACGCAAATAAGGATGGCTTCTTCTTCGGATTCTGCAGCTGGTCTCTGTACTCTCGCGGAACGAATTCCTCGAAGAGTATCCACTGCGAAGCGGTGCGAGGATCTGACGGAGGATTGTCGCGTGAGGAGCGCCTTTCTCTTGAACTCTCAGGATTCTCAGGAAGTGCTTTGAATTCCACCTGCGATAAAAGATATGTGACTTGACAAAATCATATCCGTTTCCAGAATCAAGAGACATACGAGAGCCCAATTTGACTCGCGAAACGTGCCTTCATCCCAATCAACCCAACGCGAGCTCAAGCACAGCTCGCACCAGGCAGCAGCCATTCCTTCTTCAATAATCCACTCCCTTCCTGCGACAGGCGTCGTCTCCCACCCAAATTGGGGTAAGATTTTCTGCTGTTTCTTGAGCTTACGATGCCAATCCACCGCGTGATCTGTCCATGCGCTCGGCGACTCCGTCGGCACGCTGAACTGCAGAGCATCCGCTAACGGATCGTGGGACATCGGGGGCATGGGCGTTCCTGCTCGGTCAAGGTATCGGGGATCGCCTTCTGTTGAGGAGAGTTTAGCAGATAGCCGATCAAAGCCTATCTCGCTGAAGTCATTCCAAGAGAGTGTATCCCGTTTACGAGGACTGCGAACATTGCGACGGGCAGTCTCGCTCAGGTCAAACTGAAGGAGTTTAGCGTTCGGGCTGTCGAACCCAGTCTCAGCGAAGATGCTCCACTTGAGTTCCGCTAGGATGGGAAGTTAGTAAGGAGCGCCACGAGTCGTGATATAAGCAACTCACTGAGATTTTTAAAACGATCCTCGCTCGACGACAGCGAAACAGGTGTTGACGCAGATGATGCCAGCTCAGGGTGTGTTCGACTTATCAACTCATCAATAGGATTGGGGCGTAGGAGGCTGGTTGATGACTCCGTTACACGTAGATGAGCCTGGGAATTGTACTTCGCCTTTGGTTCGAAGGACTTGGACAGATTAAGGCGCTTCTTGAACCCTTCCGCATACTTTGGTTCACTGTACTCGCCCCGCATACTTGGCACAATGCGAGTCCACTCTCTTCTACCTGTGAGATCACCCTCCCCAGACCAAAGGGTGGCGGTTTGAACTAAATCAGGGGAATAGAGGCGCACATTCCTGCGAACGCTCGCAACCCGAATCGTGCGCACGGTCGGCCGTGTCTTATCTAATTCAGCGATGCTCTTGGGGAGCATGTTTGGGTATCCCTTAATCCAGTGTTTCAGGCGGGTCGGCAACTCTACTCCGTTACGAGCTTCGTAATCTGCATTGACGATGTACGAGAGAATTAGGTGTTCGGTTGCGTGCACAGAACGAAGGTAGAGCGTGTAAGTCGATCCAAACGACAGTGATGGAGCACCCAACCCGAATATCAGCGGGCCGAAGTGCGTCGCGAGTGTTTGAGGCGTCAGTCCAGAGGATTGAGAATTAGCGCAGAGGCGTGAAAATAAAGAGAGCAAGGATAAGAAAAGGGTATGGGTCATTCGGGGAATAACGCTAAGAAAAGCTGAGAAGTGATCAGGAGGGTAGCTCAGCTCTTCGCGGAGCAGAATCAGCATCAAGGTAGATGGACATGAAATAATTGCGTCTACCTTCTTCCTTTGATCGCCAGAGAATATAATCATCTAGACTTATAAATCCACGTACTTCGAATCCGCTCTGGACCCGAGCGATTCGGGCAAGCCCCCACTTCAATACCATTGCCAACGCGTGAGGATCCGCGAATTTAAGTTCTTCTCGCCACTTGGCTTCAGCCTGGGTGGCTGACATCGGTGATCTGCGAGGTGCGGATGAATGCGGAAGATTCGGTGATTGGCATGTCACAAGAAATGTGCGGATCAACGACCGGACTCGAGCGGCAGAGACGTCCAGCGCCTGAGTGGAAAACAAGAGTGGGGTTTGAAGGCCTGTATATGACACATTCACGTTCAAGTGTAGCATCAGAAAGACGATTGTGATCAGTGCATGACGGTGAAGACTGGGTGGAGCACACAGCAACCAGGAAAAAGTGACAGACCTCGTGTGTTGAGTTCCTTTCCTACAACATCAACTAGCCTGTTGGCCTGATCCAGCCCCAGAAAGACGTCGGACTCTGTACTAATGTATCCATACTCTTGCTGAGTGCCGACCCGCTTGGGCGGAGTCAACAGCGGAACGAAACTCCCATCAGGTAACAGCGGTATGAAGCCATGCTCGTCCGGGGGCAGATCCGCAGACGAGATACCACTCGTCGGGCCTGAGTGAGTGCGCGACCGCTTAGACTTGGCTTCTTTGTCCTTTGAACTGGAACTCCGCTGAGCAGGCGGACTGCTGCCAGTTAAGACCTGTGCACGGCCGATATCATCCGGAGTAAGCGTCCTCTTGTGATGGATCTTTACAGAGCTAGTGTTTGCCTTGGCACGAGAGAAAAGCGATTGCATGCAGCGCTAGGGAAATAGGAGAACGAGATGCACGACAAGAGGGGTATACAAATGTAGGTCAACCTTTGTTATCACGGGAATTTGCCGACCAGGTCACTTGTCCCAGAGCACAAAAGGAAGGTCATGGCAATAAGCATCAATCAGACATGACGGGGACAAGACGATGAGACCTTCTGCCGTGCGCTTCCTTGATGACACGAAGATTCGATTCAGAGCGGGGATTCCATTATGCATGTGGAAAAAGTGCGTAAAAACAACAAAAGATATTGCGAATTATAGATACGGCAACGAAGCCTCAAAACATGCCACCCATTCCTCCTCCCATCCCTGGAGCGCCGCCACCTACAGGAGCCTTTTCTTCCTATAAACAAAATAGATAATTAGCAAGCGAGCACTTGGGCAACTGTCGCATCACACGTACAGGTGCCTCCACGATGCATGCCTCCGACGTAGTTAGCAAGCTAGCCACACCACTGGCATCCACCAAACCAGTGCGGACAACTTTTAAAGGATCAATGATACCGGCATCAAACATGTTCACGATCTTGTCCTCTGCAGCATCATAACCGCTGAAATCATAATCAGCCGCACGACAGCTGCATCATTGGGCCAGGGACTCACATTGTAAAGTCACTGGCGTGTTTCTCCAGTAATTGACCGATGACGACGCCGCCTTCTTTCCCAGCATTCTCAACAATGACACGCATCGGACGAGATAACGCCTCTCGGATAATTGAAACTCCCAACTGTTGGTCGAAGTTGTCCGTTTTGATGTCTTTGAGAGATAGAGAAGCTCTTAACAGAAAACAACCAGAAGACGTTGGCTTTCGGACCTGAGCTCCGATGGTGCTGTGATAAGACGCACCTGAGTAATGCAACGCCACCACCAGGGACGATGCCCTCCTCGACGGCTGCGCGGGTTGCGTTCAAAGCATCGTCATAACGATCCTTCTTCTCTCCAACCTCAACCTCGGAAGCACCGCCAACCTTAAGGACGGCAACGCCACCGCTCAGCTTGGCAAGACGTTCCTGCAACTTAGTCTTATCATAGTCGCTGGTTGTAGGATCATTGAGCACGGAACGAATCTGCTCACAGCGGGCAGTGACAGCATCCTTACCACCATCACCGTTAAGGAAGATGGTGTCTTCTTTGGTGATGATGACGGAGCCGCTGCTGCCGAGGTACTCCGGTGAAGCCTTGTCGAGCTTGATGTCGAGCTCGTCTGAGAAGACAGTTCCACCAGTGAGGATGGCCAAATCACCAAGGATAGATTTACGGTTGTCGCCGAAGCCGGGCGCCTTGACGGCACAAACCTGAAGTTGACCGCGAAGCTTGTTGAGAATACAAGCGGCAAGTGCCTCGCCATCGATATCTTCAGCAATAATGAGAAGGGGACGGCGCTGTTGGGCAGCGATCTCAAGAGAGGGAAGAATGTCTTGGAGCGCAGAAATCTTCTTTTCTGACAGGAGAACCAATGGCTTCTCAAATTCGCACTTCTGGGATTTGACATCGGTGATGAAGTACGGTGAGATGTAGCCACGGTCGAAACGCATGCCCTCCGTAATTTCAATCTCGTCCTCGATCGTCTTCCCTTCCTTGACAGTTATGACACCCTCCTTTCCAACTTTTTCCATTGCAGTAGCAATCAATTGGCCAATATGTTTGTCCCCATTAGCCGAAATGGTTGCAACCTAGTATGAACCGTGGGTATAAAAATAAGAGACTATGCAAGTTACAAACCTGAGCTATCTGATCACTAGTTGTGATGACACGCTTGTTAGTTTCCAAGAAGGAAATGACTTGGTCAACAGCTTTTTGGGACCCCCGCCGTAAATCCATAGGATTGCACCCGGCGGCGACATTCTTGATGCCCTCAGAGTAGATGGCTCGGGCAAGGACGGTCGCAGTCGTAGTTCCATCACCAGCAATGTCATTTGTCTTGTTTGCAACGTCAATCACCAGTCTGAAAATTGGAGAGGTATCAGGGACTCGACGTATGCATGGGCCTTGCTGATACGCACTTTGCCCCCAGGTTCTCAAATTTATCCTTCAGTTGAATGGACTTTGCTACAGTTACTCCATCTGTGAATAACTACACGTTAGCCTCTAATGGATGGCACTGACACTAGCAGCGCACCCTTCGTGATTTTTGGTCCACCATAAGGCTGCTCAATGATGACACTGCGACCTGGTGGGCGTTCGGTCACGTCAAAGTCGAGAAATTGTTGCATGAACCAAGTACCTTTAGGGCCAAGTGTAACACTAACTGCCTTAGACAGCACATCAATGCCGTTGAGCATAGCGGCACGACCTTCATGAGAAAATTTTATCTCCTTGTGCGCACCCCTCGCGAGGACGGGTGTTGCACGCCGGACAGCAACTGCGGAACGTCTCCCAAGATGATGCATTTTTGTAAATAGGTGACACGCAACGAGTGCAAGAAGAAGGGAATTGAAGTCTTAAGCTCAATGAGCTGGAGACAATTTTTTTGAGAAGCAATGAAGAAAGCTGAGAAAGCGGAGGGTCCAGAAAAATCTGTTTGGACGGCAGGCTCCGGCAATTTTCACTGAGAACCGTGAGCAACTTTCTCGAAATTTCTGTACTTTCCCCAACCTGTTCACCGCGACCAAGATGGTACGTGTACGCCGTCGCATTTTGAGATAATGGGCACTAACGTTTACTGTCTCGCAGTCTGCTACCTTCAGGTCAATAAAAGCTGTGGTTCCGTTGCTGGACCGCGTTCTCGTCCAGCGATTCAAACCTGACACTGTTAGTAAACATACTGTTCTTGCATGGCACTAGGCCCATAATATCATCATCCCCATAGAAAACTGCCTCAGGCATCTTCCTGCCTTCATCAGCAACCTCGAACCCCTTGCCCGAGGCAACGGTAATTGCTGTTGGGCCCGGCGCACCACGAAAAGATGGCACTGTTGCCCCTTGCAGTGTGGAGGCTGGCGACCGTGTCCTCTTACCCGGCTGGGGAGGGAATTCAATCAAGGTTGGCGAAGAGGTGTGTCCGTTCCGTTGATCGAGTTTTGCCTCTATTTGTTCTGACTACATTGTTTGTTTAGGAATATTTCCTCTTCCGGGACAGTGAAATCCTTGCTAAAATTCAGGAATAAAATCCTGCTTGGTGTTAGTTTGGTGGTTTATGATACTTTGCATTATCTGTCATATCTGGTGGCAACCTACATTTACATATTCAACAAGCGCATCCCTACTCCGTTCAGTTCCCCACTCTGTTGGTTGATGGATGAAAGGCATTTTTGAAGTTTCGGTCAACGCACGACCTTAAGAGGCGTTTTATGACTGAGATAACGTGGAAGTTATCTAAGAGCTTGCAACGCATTATCTGCTTCAAGGTCAGAATTATCTGCTCCGTAGATGTTTTCAGTGGCAACTCTTTGGAATTTACACGACTGAGACCCATAAGTGCTGAGCGCTGTATGCCCTCTAATATTCCAATTTATCGTTAATTTTTATCCGTCACGTGTGAACAGGTGAATGCCGTGCGCTCCTTAAATTCGAACTTTCTCTTCGATGGCTACTTCCTTCATCAAGTGAGCGAGAATTTTCAGTTCCTAAACGCCCCGCGAGTTCTCATGGGCGCTCTTCAGCTCGCCAATATCTTTAATTTCCGTCGCCGACATTCGTTACCGTGGTATTCTCACGAACATTGATCATGATGCAGCGACGTTGGGTCTCTCAAATGGTGAGCATGGTTTACTGATACAAGGCCTTCTGAGCCATTAACGCGCGCTCGAAAGTCTACTCTATGGGCACGGAAAACAGGCGCCCCCCAGCGGAATATATTCCTCCGCAGCCCATGCCGTATGACTATGTCGTCTTTCGCGCGTCCGAGGTTCAAAACCTCGCGGTTGACACGGAGGCTCGACCTCAGCCACGGAATATAGTGAATGATCCAGCAGTCCTAGGCGTCAGTATCACTTATTCCCTTTCTCGCCTTCCACCTCATGATGAAATATTCACGGATGTAATATCGTCCGAGAGCGCAAAAACCCATGTGGAGCTTTCCGTTGCCTTCCTTCTGAGCCATTTCCATCGGTCCTCTACCTTTGTTGTCGTAAAGCTAACATGCTCTCGACCACAGGTTCCTAACGCACCATCCAAGCCCCAGCAACTGGTAAAGTTCATATTCCAATTGACCCCCCCCATGTTCCTTCAGTGTCAATCTGTGCCTTTCATGCCGCTAAAGAACCCATGCGTGTTATTGCTGCCTTCACAATCTTTCTTTACCTGTTTGTTGTCACTCATGAGACTTACGCGTGTTTTTCTCCCAGCCACCTCAAAACGGGCCATCTCACGTTCAAAGCGAGGTAAGTGACTTTCCTCTGCTCTCCCATGATGGATTGGTTTATGCATGTATTATCCGATGGCATTTGTTTGCTCGTATGAGGATACTGTAGCCTTTTCTGCTGAGCACCCCTCAACCCGATTATTCGTTTACTACATTGCTGACCTCGAAATTACGCTGCCTAGGCTCCACCGGTTACTGTTCATCAGCCTGCCACCACTGTGAAACCCTCAGCCCCTGTGCCCCAGCCATCGCCCCAACCAGCGCCCCAACCAGTGCTTCAACCAGTCCCTCAACCAGTCTCTCAACCAGCCCCCCTGCCAGTCCCCCCTGTATCTAGCTCACGATTGCCTCTTGATAACTCGCAATCTCAGACCCAGTCACAACCTGCGCCTCAAGAACCCAGGCCCCAACAACCTAATCCTCAGCCTCAAACTGTCCCAACACGACCTCGTCCACCTGTTGATGAGAGTGGTCCCGTTCGTTCGGCGTCTACCTCTCTTGAAGCTGTCGAGAAGGCTTTGACAGACTTGCGGGTCTCTGCCCAACCTCTTCGGACCAGCCATCCTGTTATTAATGGGTACCGTGGTCAGCATCCCCGCCGAGGGGGTGGTGGCGGCAGGGGGAGAGGTTACGGCGGACGTGGTGGCGCCTTCCCTCGTGTGAGAATTCCTCAGGAGGATTTTGACTTTGTTGAAGCGAATTCCAAATTTGATAAGGCAGCTCTCTACGCAGCTAAGTCCCCTCTGTCTGTAGGAACCCTCGCTCCGTCGGGGGCTGACAGTGCGGATATACCTGAGCCAGGCCAGATAATGGAGGAAAAAAAGGAGCCTCGGAAGTTCTATGATAAGAGTCGCTCGTTTTTTGATGATTTTTCCTCGGATGCAAATGTCAAGGACATCGATGCTCGACGCGGACGAGGTCGTGGTGGACGGGGGATGGGGCGCCGGGACGAGGAAAGGACGAAGAACCTGACAACATTCGGAGAGACCGGTGTGAATCTTGGTGGAGGATACTGGCTGGGTGGACGTGGGGGCGGAAGGGGAGGGTTCCGTGGCCGGAGACGCCCTTATAACGCGATAAATCAAGTGAGCAACGTGTTTCCTGAGGCTTGAGTTTACACTAAGATATCCCTTCTTCAGAATGCGACTCCAACAAATGTCTGAAGACCAAAAAGACTGTGTTCTTTCGCGTTACTTTTCATCGTTGATCGTCTGTCTTGTGGACTCTTCCACGTCCCTTGTTGGTATTTTGTAGTGATATTACAGAAGGGAGCCATTTCAGCTCTCCTTCCTCGCCCTGTTGATGAGAATTGAAACTCATAACCAGAACAGTCTCCACTCTGCCATTTCACTCAATCCCGTTTGGTAGCCAAGTCGCACCTGACTGCAGGCGCCAATTGGCTGTCATGATAACAGCGCAAGTGCCTCTTGTATGAATTCCCGTGCACGTGAAGCTGGTGTTGAATGGCCAAACCAGGAGCTTGACCACTAAGTACATGGGGTTGCAAACCGCACGGGGAAAAGCCCGTCATCCAAATATGGTAATATATATTGCCCTATTTGACACGTAACCCACTTTGGTTCTCATCCTTCAGCAAATGTGAACACAAGACCAGGACCCCAGGACAGTATTTTCGATCCTGGAGCTCGACAAATACGTTGGCTGGCATGATTGTGTTTCTAAATAACGAGTCGCCGGTTGTAAGGAACGAAAGAGCAGCCAACTATCCTACTCCTTCAGCTAGGCGCATCTCAACTTGGAACTACTTTTGTGCGACACGCATGGTGAATATGGATGTGCATACGGATGCGGGGGGAGAAGAGGGAGAAGACGAGGAATATGAAAAGCGCGAAGAGGACGAGGGGATGTTACGATGTCTAGAGTAGGTTCAACGTCACTCGACTTCTGAACAGATTGTGGTCGGTGGTATGATAGTCATAGTCATTCAACGAACGCAGCCTCGCCCCGCGTGTGCACGTATCCACTCCCCACCCTCCCAATGAAACAAGCAGCGCTCATATCGGAGTCAACAGGCTCCCGGACGGAGCAACATGCTACCATGAGTGGGGTTGTACGTATCGAGACCCAGTCGAGACGGATAATGGGGCCAAAAAGCCGCTACATCCAAGAACCAGCCTTCCGGGAAAATTTGTACCGCAATCCTTCTCTTTGTCTTGGACGAAAATAGCAACGCAGGAGTGGGGGAAACGTTCTGGATGATATTGCTTGAGCACGGTAACTGTCAGACATTCCCATTCCCCACGCTCCTTGCCTTCTCTTCTTGCTGGCTGCAATGTATCGCTTCCTCATAACAACCAGAATGACGAAATGGGACGAACACGGTGGTCTTTCTTGCTGATGTGTCAATGCCACTCGGCCACTATGCACCGCGACGGGTAGAATCAACCTCCTCGACACTGGGCCTGTCCTGTGAGGCATAAGCCGGGTGATGTGAGCCTCAGCCTTTACTCTTAATTGGGTCGAATATTGTTTAGGTGCTCCGACCATATGTTAGTCTTGACATCGCTAATAAAGAGGAGCTGAAGATGGTTGTGAGGAAGGCGCCCTAACACTTCGACAATCGATGGGAGAGGCAGATGAGCACAGTGAACTCTTGGTAGTAAATATGTAGTCAGTCGCACTGATAACGGTGATGAGTAAAAAATAGCGCATTTATGGATAGCAATCCACGAGTCGTTGTGATAGTCAAGCTGGGGTTCATCGCGCCTAAGTGAGTGTCACACGACACGTTACGCATACCAGGACAACCACCCTGCCAATTTCGCTAATCACAAGCCGCCAGTGTCGAGTGCTTTCTTGTGCTCGAGGCTACACATATTGTTACGAAGTCATAGAGGCTGGAGTCCTGCCTACGAGGCCACCGGAAATACGCTCGGGACAATCAGCCCTTCTGTTGATGATTGTTTGTGTGTACTGAATCAAGCGAGGCTGTCAAACAAGCATAAACATCTTCCGCGCCTCTCGCCATCATTTAAATACTCCAGACACGCGATTGCTTGTGTGTCCTCCCAATTACCCCCCCCGTCTCGTCTGGTTATGTCTTCTGCTACTCTTTCTGACCTCGAGTCTGCTACCAAGGCTTTTGATACTATTCTTAATGACGATCTCCACGGTGCTTTAACGCAATGTGCGTATGTGATGAATGTAGCTTCGATTCACAGCGGCCATGAGGTGTTAATGGGGTTCTTTCGTAGTCGATTCGTCATCTTCGCCTTTTCATCTGATGGGGAAAGGTAACTTGAACGTGTTATGTGGCGCGTTGCCGATATCTCATTATTCTCGGCGCAGGAGTCACAATTTTTCTCCAGGCGGCGCTAGGTGAGTCACTGCGTTCGATGTGTGAACATTTGAGCGCTTAATGAAGATTGAATTTCTCAGGGCTTGAAGTATGATCAGTTTAGTCGGGATTGACAACTATTTCTGATTCGCGGCTCTTTAGACGAACCTGATGAGCGCAGCCTCGGAAAGTTTGGAGGCAGCTGAAGCCTGTGCGAGGCAGCAGGGAAAAATAGCCAAGGCATCAAGGGCAGGACCAACGGGAACACGCTATGCAGCAGGTCTCGAATGGGATGTGGTTGCAGCAGATGCAACCCTACTCTTAGGGCTAACAAACGCCTTATCGGAGTCCTATATCGGTTACGCGAAGTGCCTGTATTCACTTAACAGGTGAGCTAACGTTAATTCTCCTGTATGGACGCTATGAACAAGGTTGCAACCTCGCTTGCCGTAAAGTGCCCATTCGCGATTTACTTCCATGTATAAAGTCGTCTTCCCAAACGGAATTGATGATGTTTTCACTCCAACAATCTCAGAGAAATCTTCGCAGACGGATTTGCTGGACGAAGCTACAAAGCAGTTAAGGACCCGATCGCCGACCCCTCTGTATTCGCCGAAATTTACGTCGTCCCAAACCTCATTATCACCTCTTTCCGGTAATCTGTTCAGCCGCTGGATGGGCGGTTCCAGATCTATAACTCCAGTGTCGAGAAGCGACTCGTCTTATCAGGTCATCCCTGAGAACCCTGTCGAACATCTAATTTATTCTGGTGTCGCATTCGGTTAGTGTGAGGACCTCTCATCTGAACTCTTTAGTGGTATTTATCTATATCATTAAGGTTATGGTCTATTTAATCTAGTCCTTTCCTTGCTTCCCCCTAGGATTAGGTAGGAGTCCGGCTTGCCCGCAAAAAGCAAATTATTGACTCTTTTCATAGAAACGTCGTCGGCGTCTTTGGATTTACATCAGACAGAAAGTGATTGTTACATTTGTTTCCCAGGGATTCCACCCACTAACCAATTCGTGTGCTGTAAAGGTTGGGTCTGCGGGCACTGACTGTCGCCACAAGAGGAGATGACACCCATTCTCAATTCGCCGCGTGAGTCTTACACTCTTGACTTAGACGGTCAGCCACTGAAATAATCCTGAAAAGGGTACGACTGGAATTCAAGGTTTTGGTAATCCTACTGATATACATCACAGATTACCCTCATGACATATTACGGCAGTGTCCTGTTGCTTTCAGGATATCAAGCAGACGAGCAGCAAATAATGAGCCAGTACGATGCGCTTCTCAAAAAGTGAGTAGATTAACTCCTTTTTCGTCACGATTTTAATGAGATGTACAGAGTGGAGACGAAATACCCAGATGGATCACTGTGGTTACTAAATAGAGTGAGTTTTGAAGCAATTATTTCCTGTCCCGGTCACCGAGCACTTTCAAGGCTAAACTGCAGCGGTATACTGGCGACAACGCCGCAGCTATCGCCACTCTTCAACGTGGAATCGGTCCAGAGAGAAGGAATCATTTCAAACAGGCTGACACTATACTGGTCTTCGAATTAGCTTGGATTTTGTTAGCGGAAAGACGATATGAAGAATCCGCTGAGATGTTCCTTCGCCTCGTGACACTCAATAACTGGTTCGTCGTTCGACGCATCGTCTTCGCCACGAATAAATTTACTCTGTTATCAGGAGTTACGCCACCTACACCTACTTAGCTGCAGGTATGGATAACGTCTGATTCAGTGCGGGCGGTGGCTTACTCAAAAACGTTCATCAAAGGCTGCTATCTTAGCTTGAATACACCCGAAGGGCATCAGAAGGCCCAGGAGCAGCTCGACAAACTCCCGGGATTTCTGGTGGGCAAAAAAATTGGAGGGAAGGACCTTCCTACTGAAGTCTTCATCCGCAAAAGGAGTAAGGTTCTCTCTGACTCAGTTTTCGCCGTTGAATTATCTAACACCTGTCGCAGTCGCCTCCTACAAACGAAAACAAGTATCTCTTGGTGGGGATGAGGATGAATACATAAATGTGATCAAGCTATCGCCCGTATGTCTTTGGTTATTTTTTTGCGTGCAGCTCATCACTAAAGCCCGAATTGTGGCGTAGGCGGAAGAACTTGGCATCACTTGGAATACCCATGGGCGAATCTCGAAGAAATTAGCGCAGGAGCATATCATAGATCTCCTTCAACTCAGCCCCGCTCCCGCTATAGAGTCACCTTATTCTACTTCCGTCGACACCCTCCGAGACACGACAAACCCAGACCTCATTCTTCGGGACGAGCTTGCGGCCCGTTCGCTCCTGCTCGGTATCCTACACCGAGTCTCTGGTGATTTTGATGTATCCCGCCAATTCTTAACAGAGGTGTCTGAAACAGGGAAAGAGCTAGAGATGGCGTGGTTAAGGAACACGACACATTTTGAATTGGCGGTTCTGGTAATGAGAGAGGCGGAATCGAAATCTAAAGGATTATCTTTGGAAGCTTCGAAGCCGATTCTCCGCGATGCAATTGCAGCCGCGACACAATCTCTGGATCTGGCAGCTCGAGGCACAAGCGACGTGGATCTTGGGTCAAGACTTGAAAGCAGAATAACGATGGTACGTTGGTGCACAGATCATCTTAGAAGTATCTAATCCACTTTCCCAGTTGCGCGACGAGCTGGAGCTCAGGCGGAAAGACCTTGCTCTTTGATATCGAATTACACGTGGTTTTGAGCATATGCATGTCCCTACGTATACAGCATCCCAACAGTCGACTATGGACTTACTCATCAGCGAAGCGCAGAGTGGCTCGTTTCTTGGGTTTCATTCCTAATTTATCCTCTCCTTCGATTTTACGTTTTAGACCCCCTTTCGCTGGCAGAGCACGTGGAATAGTTCTAGACACAGCATCGAGCAGGGGGAAACCGGACTCTAGTGCATGGTGAATGGTTCGATAACCAATGAATTTCGGATTCTTAGGAGAAGCGTTTAACGAACGTTGAGATGTGGGACTTGGGGCTGCACTAACCTTGATAAAGCCGCGCATTCCTTCGTCAGCACAGACGTCTTTTGAATTATTCCCGGGCTGCCGCCGTTTCATGATCTCCTCTTCGACTGTCGAACGGATAGCGAGCGTCTTCACCGTGATAGGCTTCGTTTGACCGATACGGTGTGCACGCTGGGAATACAAGAGGTTTGTCTCAGACCGCGGACATCAACACGCGCGACGCTCACCTTGATGGCCTGAGTTTGCACATCTAGTGTCCACACTGGCTCGCAGAAGATGATGCGTGAGGCCTCAGTGATGTTCAGGCCCCGGGCACCGTCCTAGAGGGCCTATGAGAACCAGCGTTCAGCCGAGCAATCAACGAACCTTCAGTTCCATTAGTAGGACACGAGCACTGTCAGAGGTTTTAAAAGTAGTCACAATCTGCTCCCTTTCATAGCGTGTCTTTCCGAACTTGAATTCAAGGAAATCGGTGCCAATCATCTTGAGGGCTTCCGAAATGTGGGCGAGTGTCATGGGCATTGCGGAAAATATTAGAATTTTTTCGGTAGGTGAGTGCATGACAACCTGAGGGGTTAACGAGTAAGAGCAACGTCCTCAACCTCAGTGTATGGGTGGTTCGGGAGCAAACCTCAGACAAAATGTAGTCAAGCTTCGTAGAGCCTGAAGGGCCGATCACAGTTGAACCAAAAGAGACCTCGGTCATAAGCTCGGGGTCGTTGGGTTCTAATTGCATTTCGTTGTGCAAGGAAGTATTAAGTTCCATGTTAATCACTTCGATAGGCTTGGATGTGTTGACAGTGGAATGTATCTTGCGGTCTGTCCGCTTGCGAGAGGCAGGTGTTGCAGAACCCATTGCCAATCCAACAAGAGGTACTCCCTGAGGTTTTTCTGCGGACTTCTTGTTTGGTGAGATCGCGGTAGAGCCCGGCTTTTGAGAGGCAACGCGCCGTTGTCCCAAATCATGCAACTGCGCGGTAATGATGCGCGATAAAGGTATGAGAGGACCATATTGCTGAACAGTCTTCCTGATAATAGTAAGGCTTGAGGGGCATAATATATCCGCCGACATGGCGGAACTAGATGGATAGGGACGGGCTGCTATCTCAGAGTGTTCTCCTGTGTCGCTATTATTCATAGAGGGGTTATGCCCTCCACCATAGTACGGTTTGCTCAGGACTTTAGTGGCACTGATGGGTAGCGAGTAGACTCTGAATGGGATGTCATCGCGGGCCATCATTTTACGCCAGAACTGGTCCTGTGCCGCTTCCTGTCTTGAAAAGACAAATCAGGATTGCCGTTGATTCTAACTGGAAGGCTGGCCCCGTACTGGTATTTGAGTGCGTCCAATAACAATGCTTGATCATCAGCACTAAGTGATCGCTGTTTGGCCGTCTCTATTGCCTTCAGTGTACGCTGAATTGCTTTGTCCACATCAAAAAGATCCTCGTCGAAATGCCAAAAGAGGGATCTAAGAAAATCCGGAGGCTTTAGGGCCAAATTCACCATTAGAAAAGCACTTGCGTACTGAGTGATATTCTCCGTCAGCCCCCTTAAGTAACCGATACCCTATCCAGAAGAACTATCAAAAAAAGGCTCTTTGCCTGGATGCATTGGAGTCATACCGAAGGGCTAAACAAGTAATCCTGGGAACGCAGATCAGATGGATTAAGTCATGGAGCCCAGCTACTAACCGGTCCAGTTCTCTCACTGTCCACTGCATTCACGGCAATGGCAGTTTGCATCATGTTATAGGTTTTAGCGGCGTAATAATCCAAATCAAGAAGAATTGTAGAGTGTGTGTATGGAGGCAAATCCAACTCGTGATCTAAATCCTCTGCTCTGGAAGGATGTTGGCGATTCGGAGAAACCAACGCCTCAAGACATACCTGTGTCTTACTATCACCAGGCTCATAACTTGTTCCAACACCTTACGAGAACCCCATTTTGAACCCCTGCTAGTAAAAAGCGGCTCGATGACCCTTTCGCGGAACGTGGCCAGTCCGCTTGAACCTTCCATTGTCCGGTGAAAGGGTGGGGTGCATAAAAACGACCCAGTCATAACACCAAGTTTGTTGATGTCTGCCCGGTCCATCTGTGACCAGATGCGATGTGCTGTGCGAGGGGATAAGGATTCAGGACGAGTCTCCTGCACAATTTCACATGAATTATAATTGGTTGAAGAATCAATGATACCTCACAGTGATCTCGGCAACATCGTGCTTCATTCCAACGTTTCCTCCGACTAAATTAGCAGTCGGTGTTCCTGTAACGATCCATCTTCGCTCGGTATTCAAACTAGCCAATTGTTCCACAAGCTGCGAATGATGTGCACAGATATTTCCTTCATCGATGACCAGCCTTTTCCAACGAATGTGGAGGAACGGCGATGGGCAAGGGTGGGAGGCTGGACAATCACAACGTGAAGTTTCCTTCATTACGACGGGAAAAACTGCGATAGAAGTCAGCCACCGCGCAAGAAGGCGTAACCTTACTTACCATGGTCATTGATTAGCACAACCTGGCCGTAATCATCAACAACATCCAAGCTCGAAGTGATGAATGAATGCCTTACATCGTAGTAACTTGAGAGATCTTCCACCGTCGGAACATCCCCCCTGTTCCTAATTGTGAGGACACTGAGCGCGCCATCCTCAGTGTGCTTCATTATTTCACCCTCCCACTGCTTCAGTAGCATAACGGGGACAACGACTAGTGTAGCCTTTGATATGAAAATCCTCCCGCGAGTGGTGCATTGAAGTGAATTACTCTGGTTTTCTGTACGATGCGGATCGACTGAAGCCTTCCGCTGTCCTTCAATCCGCGAGGACTGAGCGAAGCCAGAGAGTTGCAAGTCTTTCTCGTTGGTTTCCCAAGTAAACGGCACATTTTTCAGAAGAACACGATAAAGATGCTCTGGCAGGAGCTCGTCCCAGGGGAGGCACCTCAAATCCGACGTTCTGATCTTATGCAGAACCATGTCAGTAAGACTGGGGATGTTCGTTTTTGGCGTCGGAGAATGGAGGGGGGCTGAGTATTTGTGCAAAGCCGGCGTCCACAGGGGTTCACATAAGTGGATGGTGTCTCGCGGCAGTTCTGGGAAATCATCTCTAGTACTGAGGATCAGAGCAAGCACGATGACTGTCTTCCCCATCCCAAGTTCCTCAGCAAGTATACCACCCTTTGAGCAAACGTACAGATCAGGGGTTTTCCTGAGGATGAAATCCACCGGGTCAAGATAAAACAGTTGGGAAGATCTTTCTTGGGGACCCGACTTGGATGGTGAGGACGATAGCTTGATCAAGGTTGGGTCGATATGAGGTTTAGAATCCATTTCCTGGTGCAACAGACGTGCTAGGGTGCGTCTCTGGTAAGGGTACAGCCTCGTTCGTGACCTAAATCCAGGGATTGTGTGGTGTGATATGGATTGGATAAGTCGGCGGGATGCCTCACTCAGAAAAGCATCATCAACAATGGGGGAAGGCAAACTAGAGAAAATTTCTGAGAGTGTCCTATGGTCCTATTTGGTGAACCGATGAAAAAAGCAGTGATCGTCGCGCTTCAGGCATGACTCACGCCATCTTCATCTTCATGCAAAAAACTAGGGGCGGAAATGGCAAGCCCATCCCAATCAGGTTGTGACCTGGCAGTCCGAGACAATATAAGCTCTATGTCCCGGCCTTGGTTGCGCCTCTCAATTGGTAAACGAAGGCTGCGCCTTCTGTTGCTCTGATTGGGCAAGTCGATTGGCACCAGCTTGACTCTCAAGGTGAAGTGTTTTTGGTGACAGAGCCCATCCAGCCTAACACTCCCCACGAGAAGGGAACGGTTCAGAGAATTGACCAAAGTCCTATCTTCTTGTACGAAGTCCGCGACTCGAAGAGGGGCTGTCACCGGGCCCCAGCTCAGTGTCTCTTCGGGTGGAGTGCATGCATAACATAAATGGACGACTCCCGCGCAGAAAAGGAGCTCTTCATCAATGATTTCTGAAGACCCGGCCTTGTTTTCCATGGTCCAACTCGGAGTCGGACAAGTGAGTGGCTCGAGGCAGTGCCAGTCTGCACTGCCACCGCTGACGCTTCCCGACCCAGGGGCTTCGAGCCCAACATCGTTGTTGCAGCGCGAGACGATCAATCACCCACCTGATACAAAGGCCCGAACATGTTCTCTTGGCTGCAATCCACAATCTCCAATGCTCTACCATCTGTGCCCCTAAACTTACAGCAACGATTCTTTTCCTTCGTTCTCAAGAGAGCCCTCGGACGTTTCGTCCATCCAGACCAACTTGATGCATTCCAGATCGATGCTCAGATAGGTAATGGACAGATTGAAATTAGCAACGTTCATCTTGCTACGGATGTGAGTGTGTACCATGTGGCCCTTGTCAACTGACAGATAAGTCCGACTGAAACTAGACTATAAACGAGGCGATCCGTGATCTTCCTTTCCAACTCCGAAATGGGTTTGTCGGGAGAATAACTGTTAACATTCCATGGTCGAATATATGGAGTGCTCCCATTACTGTATCATTGGACACACTGAACACCACATTCTCGCTTCCCAGGGCAGCTGATCCATCTGCCCTTAAACCTGGCTCACTAGACCGGAATTTGTCGCAGTCTGTTTCAAATCTGGCAGAGAGTTTTGTGCTCCAAGAGCTTGGTCAGGAAGACACTCTGAAACTGCGGGAGTCGATTGCACCCAACGCAGGGAACGCTACGCAGACAGGTGCCTTTCGCGTGCCTGGCGGTTTGGACCCCTTCATGATGGCCGGCGGTGACGCCGAGGATGACGCCGAGGATGGCGATGAAGAGGGAGACTTTCAAGGAGCATCTGTCTTCGCCTCGCTGACAGAGTGGCTCATCAATCGTTTGAAGATCTCCGTCCTCAATGCTCATGTTTCGATAATCGACGAGAGGTGCAAAATTGCTGTTTTCATCCCCGATTTCTCATATGGTCCCATTGGTCCCGCCTGTGATGATTCGTTGCCTAGTTGTACCGGTCAGGAGAGGGTTTTGCGGGTAAATGGGCTATCCATCACCATGAAAGATCTCGCGCCTCATCCTGTACAATCAATGTCAAATGTTTCCGTTCGTGAAGATTCCTTGTTCACATCAGATGGCTCCGATGACGACGATGCCGCTCGGACGATGTTGTCGCAGAGTGTCGCTTCACTGCCGCCGCCACCCAGCGTTTACCAGAGTGCTCTGTCCCTTCCGCTTGGTCCCGATACTTGTGACTCAGCAGAGTCAACCATGTTATCAATGACCGAACTCCTCATAACTGTTGAGCCCGTGTCTTCCCCATCTCGGGACCCTATTCCCGCCGGCGTGGAATCACAGGCCTCGAGGGTGCAAGGGCAGACGCAGTCTCCTTCATTAGGCTCAAATAATCAATGGATCTCCATCAATGTGCAACTGGGGACCGTTGCTTGCGCTTTCCAAAGATATCAGTTGAATTCTTTGCTGTCTATTTCTCATCGTTTCTCCAGGCAAGATGTCCCTACGCATACATCTAAGTCTTCTAAGTCATCACCTCCCCCATCACCTTCAAAGTTTCTTGAACTGTCGCTACGTTTGAAATCATTCGTCAGCGTGTTCCTGTTGGATTTGGAACAATGTGAGGCCACTTCTTCGAATCCGTCGGGGGGGCATTTTCCCATTAATATCCACCTGTCGACTTTCTTTCAAAAACCCTATCGTAACATCCCATTCTTCCAACAACTCCGAGTCCAGGCTGACGATTTAGAGGCAGTGTCCGCTTTGGACAGGAGTCAGTACACTTCGCGGGACAGGAATGGCAGATTACCTCTACGTGGTCACCTTGCGGACTTCTACATGGCACTGATCAGTCCGCGCGAATCGGGGAATGCATTGACTGACTGTCAAATGGATTGTATCGCTTCTCCTATTATCCTTTTTGACCCAAACCTCACCCCGGTTCCGGGCGCTTTGACATCGCATTATCTGCCAAGGGACAGCAGCGCCTTGGTCCAGCGCATGTTTCCTGTCGGCGATATTACTAGTGATTCCCAATGGGATAAACACCAAGGTGCCCATTTCAAACCGTCAGCGTGGCGGAAATCACGATTGCCCCCGAAAATGACTCATAATGCTCCTGCTATTGATTCTAGCACTACCAAATCGATGGTTTTCCATGAAACTATTGAAGGGGACATATTTACCGTCTCCGTTTCCCTTCTTCCTCTGCATCTTTTTGTGGACCTCGATACTCTTATGCAAACCATGCCGTTTGTTGACGGGATATTCCAGGGTCTATCTGATGACAATCTTGAAGCCTATTCCGATCCAGATAGTGATGATGAGAGTCCTATCTTAGACATAGATCAAGGTCAGGATGCAAACTCCGAGGAGTTCCCCTTCGACACACCTCGTCCTCGTCAGTTGGATCTTCCTTTAGTCGATCCAGTATCCCCGTCTTCCTCGTCTGGGACCTTAATCAGCATCAAAATGGTGCGGGTCGAACTGCGGACACCACCAACAGTGATTCGCGGCCAAGTCTTGCCTCGACGCTCGGGTGCCTTGACATTTGACATATGTGGGATATCAGCAGTTACCGGTGGGTCTCAATCCGGGCAGGAGTGTGGACAAAGAGGCCAAAAGCGTGCTGTATTTATGGTTCCTTCAATAGATAGGCAGCCTGAATTTGAGCCGAATCTTTCGATCGTTCACGGGGCGGAATCGTGTCCCCTTCTCCGAATAGAATGGGAATTGATCTGCTTAGCTTTTGCTAAACCTCCAGGTATGTGACCCTTGTGATTGATGGCAGCATCCTCATGAATTCTGTGAATCTAGAGAATACTGCTATTGGGGTTCTCAGCATTGGGCCACTATCTCCACCATCCTCCTCACACCCTTCAGAAACTCGTCTTAATGACCTAGACAAACCTTTCCTACCTTACGTGTCGGCTTCCCAATCAACCATATTGACCGAAGGGAATTCGCGTTCTCTTGTCAATGTGGCTGCGGCACTGCCGTCGATCCGCTTATCCTTGGGAAAACCACAACTCGACCTTGTTCAGCTATGGGCGGATGATGTAGCTCAATGGATTGAACGCTTCGCAGAGTCCCGGACTGCTGAAGCAAGAACGCGAGAGATATTCTACAGTCACAATACGAGTTTGATCGGGAGCAGATTTTTCTCAAGGCGTCCTAAGTCATTATCTAGCTCGTTTACAACAACAAGCGGAGCCAACACCGCATCATCATTGAGGAATCCCGTGAACTCCACAGAAGTGTGCATCAAGTGCTCCGTGACTGAAGGTTGTCAAATTTCGTCGCTTTGGTGGACGGGGCGTTAAATTGAATTGTCCAGGCTCTATACAGCTGTGGATACCTAGGTCCGATGCGTCCGGCAGTTCGGGTTTGCCTTCCAAACCCGTGAATTTAGACGTGTTTGAAGTCGATGCCATGTTGACTTCAAAGCCCTCTGGTAAGGTGCGTCGACACTACCTGATCTTTATGCCGCTTCAGCTTACAGTCATCAAGGATGAAATGATAATCCAGCTTTCGATCATAGATGTCCACATTTTTGATACCGGAGCTAATGACGAAGCCACGGCGTTATTGTATCTGACCACCCAGCGTCTGCCTGTGCGTCCTTCATCACCCAGGAGTTTGTGTATGACTCAAATAAAGGTCGTTAGGGTGTTGACCTAGTGCCAATGGTCAAGATTCGTTTCGCCTCTGTGAACATGAGTGACAAAGCAGCCAAGGAATCTCGCATCAAAATTTCTTTATGGGGCTCAACGTACCAACTTCTCGGCCAGGGTTCATGGTTTGACGATATCGGCCGATATGCGAGGGCTCCGGAAGGTGTATGTTTACGAATTTTCTTCCGTCCATTGAGATGGCTCGTTTACATCAAATTCCTATCTTCAGGCATTTGAATCAGTCGTACCGAGCGAGAGAACAGTATTTTCCGTTCATGTGGAAGATTTTTCGGTGAAGCTACTTGCACCCCTCCACCCCGGCTCAATCGTTTTGGCCTTCAATAATGCACATGTTTCTGCCGATCTTGTCGGAAAATCGCCCGAATCTCGTTTCAAGACTGAAATTACTTCTGCTTGGCTATTCTGCATCGACACTCTTTCCTCTTCCCACGCCGTTCGCCGTGGCTCAAGACCTGGGAAATTGCTCCAAGCATCAGATTATTGGAAGGCGCGTGAATCCAACATTTCTCTTTTTTTTTTTCTGATGCAGATGGCACAGAGGACTGGATTCGCACCCCTAGTAGAGCTCAACGAATTGGTAGCTGACATAAGGCGCAATGTTGATCCTGATCAAGTTGCAAATAAGGTATGTGGTTCTATTTGCCTCCTACGGACGAAGTCCCAGGTCACCTTCAACAGGTGTTAATATCAGACATGAATTTGCTGATTGGCATATGCGCGGACTCGCTGTCCTCTGCATCTTCGTTCATTTCTGACTTTTCCAATGGAGTATCACCCCCAGATGAGGAGTGAGTTCAGTCCATTTACGATATCCGGTCACTGATTTCGCTCGTACAGGCCAAGGATTATTCCACGAGCACCACCGATGGTTAGCCGAGGGGGGTCGAGCGACCTTCTAGGTCCGTACGTATCGTGTGGATGGTGGCCTCGTCCTAATATTGCCCCGGATTGTAGCCAGTCTAGACGAACATGCCTTTCGGGACCTCTCAGAGCTCGGAGAAATGGCTGACATGATCAACGACGATCTTCCTAGCAATGCAGACTACTTGGATACATCCTTTGGTGCCGCCGCCGGCGTGAGGGATATCGTAGACGAAGATTTAGACGATGTGGAAGATGAGCAGAGCTTCCACGATGATGCGCAGACCCAGGATGCTCCAGACAGCATCGTGTCGACTTTTGGTGGCGAAACGATTCGAATATTCGAGCCGAACGGCTTGAGACCTGTCGAGAATTATTTTGATTCTTTGGTTCCCGAGGATCTGACAGTCAGGTGCTTTCGAGCAATACTTTTGACTGGTCGACAGTTCTCATCCGTCTTTACAGCCATGAGGAACTGCGGACGGTTATCCGTGCAGAGAATTGCAATATAACTTTATCCCTTCATTCTGGTTTCGACTGGCACCGCACGCGACGAATCGTTGATGACGAAGTACGCACGATGCGCCGCAAGTTGCTCAAGATCAGACATCTTGTGGCAGCAGGGGGTCAAGTTCCAGACGATAGCATCGAAGAAACACACGCTTTGCTCTTCAACTCCGTATATATTGGTATTCGCCCAGAAGTGAACATCAACGAACCCAACGCGCTCATGGAAGCAATAGACGAGGAACTCCAAGATGATTTCGATGATACGGCCACTCAAAGTTCATGGCAATCCTTGCATCGCGAGCCAATGGCTTCTAACGCTGTCGCGGAAGAAAACCCGGGTGATTCAAGGAACCCGAACTTGAAGCGATCGAGGCACCCTTCAGTTCAACTCTGTTTCGCTGGAGCGAAGATAGAATATGACGGATACGGAGCCAGGTCGGACACAGCTTCTAGGCTCCTTTTGATGTCGAAAGATGTGGAGATTTTAGATCACATAAAGTCTTCTACGTGGAGGAAATTTTTGACTCAAATGCGCGAGGACTTGAAGGGGAATGTTAGGGAAACTGGGTCAGATATGCTGAGGATTGAGTTGCTAAGTGTTCGACCGGTCAGAGGTAATCCTTCGGAAGAGGCTAGACTCAAGGTTGGTCGGAAAATAACGTTCCTTTCAATAATGGTACTTATCTTACCTTGCATGATAGGCGAAGATCTTGCCTTTGCGCCTTCATGTGGACCAGGATGCACTCGATTTCATCAAAAAATTCTTTGCTTTCAAAGATCCGGATGCTCCTCAGGCACCCGAAGAGCTGGAGTCTGATAGCAGCGAAATCTATTTCCGTGAGCCGAATTGTTTCCTTACATGACCCTTGACCATTCAGCCCATGTTCACGATGAGAATTTGTCTTCAGAACACGTCGATGTCTTTCCGGTGGAGATCAAGTTGGATTATAAACCCAAACGAGTGGACTACAGGGCGTTGAAAGAAGGTCGTACGCTCGAATTGATGAACTTTTTCCACTTTGATGGATCGGAAATGACTCTGAGACACATAGAGATGTTTGGAGTGAGTTTTACTAGATATCTTTCATTCGTTTCCTACCTAAACCCTGTATCATGATTAGGTCACAGGTTGGGCACGGATGTTTGACATGCTGAATGACCTCTGGTCTCCAGACGTAAAGGCGAATCAACTCGCGGACGTCATCTCCGGTATCGAGCCCATTCGCTCGGTGGTCAATGTTGGTTCGGGTGTGGCGGATCTCGTCCTACTTCCCATTGAACAGTACAAGAAAGATGGAAGAATTATCAGAGGACTGCAGAAGGGTACTACGTCGTTCGTGAAGAGTACAGCCATGGAGGCTATTAGACTTGGTGCACGCTTGGCAAATGGGACTCAAATCATTCTTGAACACGCAGAAAACGTTCTTGGGGGTAGAGCCGTTGGGGCAGGTGGTGCCGGCGATGTTTCGATGTACTCCACCGCTGGTGGTGGCTATGAGGAAGGATGGACCAGAGCGGAGTTACATGGTGTAGTGGAGGATTCATGGTCAGATGAAGAGGAACTTGAAGATTTACTGGTGTCAGGTAGGACACCACCCGAGGTTGTTAGCCGGTATGCGAATCAACCCAGGGATGTGAGGGAGGGTTTGCAGAGTGCGTATGTGAGCTTGGGAAAGAATTTACAATCGGCTGCTCAGACGATTTTGGCTGTGCCGATGGAGGTTTACGAGCGTTCGGGTTCGGGCGCGGAGGTGAGCCTTTATTTGTTGGATGAGAGTAAATCAACAGCTGATTGATATGACATTAAATTCTTTCTACTTCGCTTTTTCTTTGTTGGTCTGTGATCTGAATCAGGGTCCTGTTCGAGCTGTCGTCCGAGCCGTACCTATCGCTGTGCTCAAGCCGATGATCGGCGCGAGCGAGGCGGTGAGTAAGACGCTCCTCGGATTGAGAAACTCGCTGGATCCAGGAGCTAAGAGGGATATTGATGAGAAATATAAGAAGATATGATGGCTTGGGGGCTGAGTAATCCTCTGCGCGTTCTCGTTAGTCATCCGTTGGTTTCTTTTTCTCTCCATTCGTATGTACTTTTAAATTCTTTCATTTTTCGTTGCTGTTTTCGTTGTTGTACAATATGGCATTTTTTCTCATTCTCATTCGTTGTAACTCCACGTGTAGAGACATGTTCTTGTCGACCGTGTGATCACAAACGTGTGTACATGTTCTGCTTTTGCATTTGGTCAAAGATACTATACAAGGATGCGTTGCTTGCGCGCGCGCGCGGCATCGCATGTGCATGCGGACTTGTGAACGAGTACGCGTACAAGATGGAGGGCGTTGTTGGCATGTTACTTCCAGAGCTAGGGATTTACGCTAGTGGGGGGCGCTCAACAGCCAATTTGAGCATGAGAGCTTTGTTGAACTACGAGTGAGTTAGTCGGGGTACATGCATGATCGAGCCTGAGGATTGAGCACAAATGAACCTTTTTGGTTCTGCTTGGCGTCAATTTGCATATTAGAGTCTACTCATTTGTTTAATTTTAATTTCGCAATGAACTGGCTCTTACACATCAATCCCGAGGCGTGGGCCGGGGAAAGAGTGATGGGTTGGGTGAGTTATGTACATCTTATCGTGCGCAGAACATAATCAGCTATGAAGCGGGACTTGCCAATGGGGCGGGGCACGATCATCTGGGACCCCAGACGGAGGACTCAGATCGGACTGAAATTTGTTGTTCCAATTTTCCCGAAGACGCCTGCCCTTGGGAGCAGCCTCGAATCTGCAGGCTAAAATATCCGTAGGTCCATGGTGTCGGGTTTTGGGTGGGCGAGTGGATTGAGGCGACATTTTGCCTTTACCAGCTAAAGATGGGGGTTATGCCGGGCGGACTGGCGGGGATATTGGGATTGGGGAGGCCGGGAGCTGGTCCAACTGAGCCTGTTAGCTTATGCGTGGGCTGATGCATCTCAGACAGATGCACTGGAGGGCGCTTCGGAAGCTACTTGTGATCATTCCATAGCTGCTGGCGTTTGCCTGACCGTCGCATGTATGGCTGAATGGGCGATTCTTACCCAGGTCCTTGCAGAAGTTGAGCGGCTTAGTGGTGGCTTGGGCATGAGACACTTCCCTCGTCGGAATAAGCCGGGACTTTCTACGGAGAGATCCACTACATCCAACGCAGCTGTCACTCTTCTGTCACGTACACGTCTTGTAATGGCAACAGCAAGAATCAGCATTTTGCCTTTTTGGAATTGTGGCAAGCGTAGGCAGGCGATCAGCCTCAGGGAAGTGGACAAGAGCTAATAATATTGCACATAACCTGTCATTACTGGGATGACATTTCATCTACCATGTGAGCGAGCACACGATATGGAATTACAACTATTGGTCCGTCGGCACCCAGTGAAAGGAAACGGCGCTGAATCTGTCTTCTGGGTAGCCCGTTCGGCCTTCAGGAGGACATTAGGCAGGATCTCAGCCTCCACTAAGGACATTGCAGTTCGAAATGAACTTGTGCCAGAAGGGCGTGTTGGAGAGGATACAGCATTGCACAAGCTTTGAATGATTGAAATTATTAACTGAGTCCTTAGAGCGGAAAATGGCGATGCTTAATGACGGGTGGTAAGAAAAAAAAACATAGAATATTCATAGTTCGCCAGATCTTCGGTGTATAAACATCGCGTAGGTTCCTTCCAACGTGTGTGCCGAGGCCTTCTGCTTCGGCGGATTTCTGCCTTCAGTAGCACGCCGTCGGGTCCGGTCCCGGCGGCGTCAGGTGTAGCTTCAGAGACAGGGCCTCTAGTCACGCACATGCCATAACCCTCGATCCCGATGGTGCTCGTGGGTGGTATGAGGATGAAGAAGGCTGGAATTTCTCCGCTTTCCGGTGACATCGACGAGAAGATGTATTCGGCCGCTTGAGCGATATCGATGCCACCCCAATGGAATACGAACGGAGCGAGATCCCCCAGAGCGTCCTAATCTTCGTCGAGATCTTGTAAAAGCGAGAGAATTGACAACTAATCGAGGGGAATGCAACCAACGACTCCCTTGATACACAAGGACTTTCCGCGAGGGCAGTCACTAATTTCATATTTATCGCAGATTGAGGCCAAAGCCTCGTCACCCCCGCAGATATATTTCATCCTCGCTGCTAAGGGTTAGACGATCAAATAAGCAGGATTGCCGTCTATGGATCGGCATCGGACCAACTTGTGACCAGTCTCAATGAGCAGCACTGAACAGCAACGAAGAGTGTAAGGCACAGGTCAAGCAAGCAGAGGGCATAGATCTAATCTGAGGGTCCGTGGAAACGCGTGAGCTGCATGTATCCGTCACAGGAGGGTAGGACTCAAAACTTTCACCTAGAACGCAGCCAGCCCTCTGGTGAGAAACGCACCCACGCCAACAATGTACATTCTTTAAGTCAATCAACGAGCCTGGATCAGTGACGAAGTGTAATTGGCTGCCACCCATACCGTGCTAGTGAGGGCTGTTAGTTCAACGCCGTCGTCCACAGCAAATTTCGATAGTGTCGCAGTCAACCATTGCGAATACATACTGGCCACGCTAAATGAACGAATCCGTACCATAAGCTGATGAGAGCCGCAGTCTGCTGACAAGGCTTCGCAGGATCGACAGAACTTATGAAAGTCAGTATGTGGCACCTCGACTATGTAAGTGCTGAACAATCTCATATGCATATGTATCAACTCCGAGGACGAGCACAAATGTGGGATTTTTCCTGGTAATTTCCATTCCACAACGAAAGGAGACTCATTGGAACCCGCATCCCCGCAGAACGGAGCGTGTAATTAATCAGGCATCGGTGAAGGTCCATCAGTTATCGTGGTATCAATAATAACCTGCTCACAATAGTGGACGACAACATGCATCATTCAGTGGCTACAGCGGTTCTCTGCACCAGATATTCATTAAATCCTGATGATCATTATCGCGGGACCCCACCGCAATAGCGTCAGTACCTGAACTTTTGCGCGCCATCATTGGATGATACTGCGGGCTAGGATCGCGGACACGACCTCAAAATTTGTTTGAAAAAGCCCGCAGTTAGAATCACCCTTCGGTTATTGGTAATACCATACCGGTGGTAGCAATCATACCCACCTGAGAACGAGGATCGGACGGCGCATGGAGCCCAAGTCAGGTGAGACGGGAATTGCGTTGAGGGTACCCCGTATTTCAGTGACCCTCGAGATCGAGAATGGCTACTTCTTGTTCACGTGCACCTGTTCCGGCGTGGTGGGGGGTCCGTACTTTGGTGAAATGCTGTTTGTCCAAGCCCTCGAGTACCATGAATCCGATGAAACGAGAGGCACAGGTGCGAAGTGTAACCCGAGCACTTTCTCCCATTTTATTGTCACCGTAGGTTGTTCGGCCATGGCGTGGAAGGTGTTAGAGAGGGTAGATTAGTATAACGACATCTGTTCCAAGACGACATTCAGCTTTCTGCGAGGTTTCTGGATGGATTTGTCCACTACGAGAATACATACAGAGCGACTGTACCGCGTGACCCTGGTTATTATTGCACCAGGTTGTCTAAATTGGGGCTCGGGATAAATTTCCGTCGGGATGATGATATCTTTCCCAAGACGACGTCCGACTTGCAACACAGTTTCCACCTCAACTTTCCACTTCGCCATCGCCGTCCTCGAGGTATGTTGTAGTTCGATAAGTTTCAGATTTCGACTCGATGGAGAGTCCAGGAAGCGCATGAATTCACGCGGCCCAAAATAACTCCGCCAAATCAGGGTGCGCAATATGCGAAGTGTTTCAGGCGGTTTGGAGAATGAAGAGAGTGGAATTGGACTGAGGAGCGAGAGCTCTTCTAAATGTGGGGAGCTTTGGAAAAGTGCACAAGGGAGTTCGGAATAGTCATGCCACTCCCATGTTTTGGTGATATGGAACTGGTCTGAGCCGACCGGACGACAGGTAAGAATCAGCGTCCTGAGATTGGAAAATGCTTTTGTCGTCTGTATCATCCATAGGAAATCCTTGGGCGTTAAATAGTGTGGCCGCTGCACTTCTAGCACACGTAAACGGGGAGTGACGTTCTCACCTTCCCCGAGACACTCTGTACTTTTAAGAAGCTCAAGCATATGAGGCAATTTGGGGCCTGAGGTTTTCTTAAGACGAATTTCTGAAAGTCGTGGAAGAGAAGGGAGGCGCGAGATGGGAGTGAAAGGCCGGCCGAATATGGACATGCGAGTGATTGGATCCCATTCATAAATAATCAAGGTTTCTAATGTCCGAGAAAGGTGCTGGAGAGCACAGCGCAGCCCGTGTGAATAACACCCACTTGTCCACGTAAAATGTTTCATGGAGGTTGAAGGAGCGACGACAGTCTCAAAGTTGTCATTGAACTGGGCGAGTTCGGCAAAGGCATCATCGTACCAGCCAAAACTCTCCAAGCCCACCAGGTGCGAACATGATGCGATAATTCCGTTCACCAGTATCGCCCTCTGATTGAACCGAGCCAGCTGATCGGGAAAGTGGTCAATGAGAGATGGTCGGTCCTTCAAATGACGAGTTCTAGAGTCGAGAATGATGGTTCGAACGAGGCTCCCATGGGACTTGAGTGATTCGTGGAGAGAATATACGGATGCTTCGGTGCAGATGAATATTGCGATTTTACGATAGAGGCCACGCATCACAGGGTCGACCCAATTACAGGAGACGAGAGCGAGAGATGCCAAAGTGGCACGTTTCTGGATGTAACTCGTCACAAATTTTGGGGAAGGTGAGTAGCCATCATCCCCAGGATACAAGTGACACGGGATGAGGTAGTGAACAATTTCGTGTATAATATCCGAAGGGAGTGTGTTCCAGGATCTGGATGCACGCACTGGACCCTTCGCGTGGGTGGGATGTTCCAATCCTCGTCGCAGCTCCTTGGTCATGACGAGTCAAACCCCTAACGCCGACACTTGGAACTGGATCAGCCCAAGTAGAACTCCAGCTTCTGTAAATATAATGCAGAAAGGCCAACTCGTCAATTGCCGTGTGGGGAAGGGCAAGTGCCGAAGTGACCATGCCCCGTAACTTCGATCGCCCGTGCCATCTTCAAAGGACATGGTTTGCTGCCAGTTTGACGCAACGGGCCTTGTTTAGACCGAGAGGACGGGGGCCGTTTCATTGATTCTCATTCCTCCAGCCTGACGGTTTGTGTATTCCTCAACCTCAAATACTCCATTTCCGTGGTGTACTTATATCAGCCTGGCTATTAACATGTCCCCCGCCCATACATGGTTTTTCATAATCAATACCACAGAGGCAGCTTCTGAAAGCTGCCGCATGCTACTCCACAACAGAAAATATCGCTTCCGTATCATATGCTTCTGATTTGATGATCAAACATGAGCCGGCCCAGGCTTTTAAGTGGGGCGCATGCGGGCACTTCATGATCGAAACCCAACCCCTGTGCTGCCATCTTCCCTGTCTGCCATGCCGTCTCAAGCACAGCCCTCATCATCTCTCAATAGCCCAATTCAAATATTTCAGACTCGATTACCCGCTGTGGACCAAGGTCGCCTTGCAGGCGTCCTGGAGAGACAAAGGAAACAGCATTCTAGGTATTTCGGAATCGGGAGGCCCGCCAACGAGACAATACTTTATGGCCCTGTCAATGCCATTGTGAACGCCGTATTCCCTGAAAACAGTTTATACAGGCCTATGCAGCAGTATACACTAGAAGATGGGAAGCGGGATCAACGCGAACTGCTGCGACCTGACATTACCGTAGTAACTGATACAGAACTTTTCGATCAAGACTCGGATTCCCTCACCTGTTTGGTGATAGAGGTGAAGAATAAGCCACTTTCTGCTAAAGATAGGAAGGAGGACACAAAGAAAGCGGTGGATCAACTCTATCGGTACATGATCGATGCCTATCAAAAGAGACATTGTCCGAGTGTGCTATATGGCATTGCCATTGTAGGCTTTCGAATGTACCTGTACCAGATGATGGGCATAGGTACACCGATGATTCATGTCGAGTCGGGATTTGCCCCAAATTTTCTAGACAACAGTGCAGCCAAGCTTTGGACAGACATTCGCAACTTGGTTGACGATGAAGTGCGTGAGAAGTCACTTACGTGGCCGCGTGCAACTCGCTCTCTCAACAGCAGTGTGGGTGTGGCCCAACAAGATGCTGACATGGAGAGACCCCAAGATACGATGGGTGGTCTCTTTGAAGACGTTGTGGCATTGAGATTCCCTCCAATGCCCGAACCCAAAGACCCCAATGTATTTGGTGCCGCATCTTACCTACCAGGCCTTAGCCCTACAAACACCGATTCTACTGGGCCCCGTGAAATCGAGAGTCCAATCCAACTCCGTTCAGCTGATCGGGTTGGGGAAACACTCTCGTACACCCCGTTCTTCGATTTCCCTGCCCCAAGCAACTTGAGCAGCGATCATCGAGTCGACGGGACACCGCATCTCCGCGGTAGTGCCCAATGGATGTTCACCCCCCAGCCAGGCCAAAAACGGCCTTTTCACGGGTTTCAATCCATGCCTGCCGCTCACTCAGGTGGAATGCCACTCACTCCGGGGGCTCCCTCAGACTTACCACTGCAACCTGTCGGAACACCATCTTCTCCGAGTCTTCTCATGCCTCCATTGGAATCAGCTGAATCACCACTCCATCGCTTCTCAACACAAAGGAGGCAGCTGCAGATAACTAATAATGTTAGCACAATCGGTATCCTTGTGAGAGACCAGGATCGGTCCTCTGGTCAAGGTGAACCTGGAGAGGCTCAAGTTCCTCAAGGTGGCGCCGGTTGGAGCCCGAGCTATGCTGCTAATGTGCCTAGAATACCTGAACCGATCAGCCGACGCGCCATAACGGACTGGCACACCATTTCAGCTTCACATGCACCTTCAACCAGCAGTCAACCACATAACTTTCTAGCTCCCAACATTGCTTCGCACAGCCCGCGGCACCTTCGTGTGTCCGAGCGAAATGTCGACGAAGATAGCCCCGACACACCCACCCCCTCAACCATCACAAATCGGAGTGGTCAGGGCAGGCAAAGTGATGCCCAACCAAATCACCCCAATTTCGGTGGAAGGTAGGTCGGGTCGTACATAGCAAGGGGGTTCTTGCTATCACAGTTTCACTGAACACGATTGTTTGTAGATCCAACAAGCGCATGAGCTCGTAGCATGATCATCTCTTTATGGAATGGGGTCAAACCTTTCTATGTCCACCCGGTGTTGTGTTCTCTCTTGTATTACTGTTTAGAGGACCCAAGCAGGGACCGTATTTAGTTGGGCCTCCCACTCATAATGTGGCTTGGTGCATGTTATAGAACGTTGGCTCTCAGGCCATAAGTAGTTTTCGCATATGTTTATTAGCATACGTCAGTACTGTGATTGCTCACTATGCTAAATGACTTTGCACCTGGCTCAACGGGGATGGAACCAGCATGGAAATATGTTGCAGGAAAACTGACAAGTTCAATATCGGGCGCGTTTGGCCCTGACGTTGTATCTGGTACTAGGGCATCAGAGAGACTCAGTAGGTTGGACCTCCACGGCTCCCTGAATGAGGTCAATTGAGAAGAAATAAAATTCGGTGAACCTAGTCCCATCAAGTGACACAGTCCGCGTGCTGAGCCAATATGTTAGCAACTTCAGGGAAAACAAGTAGCGGAGAAAGTGCAAAGTCAGGTTGAGAATGACCAAGCTTCTTCTCCATTACTGCTGCAGGCTGCAATCCATTGGGCATCGCTATGGTCATCGGCCTAGACAGGTTACCAGCCTTATTGGAATCATCGGTCAAGCGCTAATCATCATTTGAGGGAGAGTCTAAGCTCTGGGGGATTGCCTGACTGTGGGAACGTCAACGGGCGTTTGCCGTTTTCGGGTCGGATTTATGATTGAGCGGGCACATTCGCATGTGTACGTACATCTAAGTTATTTGGTAATATCTAAGGCAACTTGTGAACCAGACTCGAGCTCAACGTTGAGGCGATATGGGCGGGATTTGGTTGTATTCGAGTAGTTGGACTGGAAAGGGAATTACTGTAATATGATAATACATATGTAATTCAAAAGAAAAAAAACTTGTTCCCGCTGATTGAACACTAAAGACGCAAACATTCGTTTCGTCCTCCTCCGCTCTCCTTTTACTTAATTCTCTCACCTTCTCTCTTTCTCACTCTCCCTCTGCGCCATGGCCACTAACAACGACTATGACCCTCTTTCGCCCATCGGGCCTCCTTCACCACGTCTCGATCCTTTCCCGCTAACACTCTCTCCTCAAACAGAGGAACCTGAGCCTTTGTACAACGAATACGATGCATTCACTCCACCAACTCAACAAGCTAGCAGAAACTTGGGTGATGCAGACAGTTATCAAGGCGTCCCTCAACATGACGACGACGACCCAACACCTACTCCGTCCATCCCTCGTCATCATACTTTACCTAGTTCAGCACCCAACCTCGATGATATGCCCGTTCCAGTCTCCCTTCTTCCTCCAGGCGCTCTCCCCCCTGAACGGTACTACTCTGCTCTAGGAACAGAAGACCTCTATTCTCGACAGTCCTACGCCTCCTCCATTCCCACTCTCAACGAACTAGGTGGACGACCCCGTCCCGGTTTCGCGACTCCGTCCAACAGCAGTCGAGCAGGCTGGAGAGATTCTGATTACAATTCCGTTTCACGTCTTCCCGTCGCTACAGATATAAGAGCTTCATATGCTGGTACGTATGGTGCTGATGACGGTAGCGGCGACCGTCATCTCTCTACATCCTTGGGAGGTTACGACGATTCCTTTCGTGATGATCATCATCTCAACAATTCGATATATCCAATGGATAACATGTCCGGTCCTATGGATGATTCAGCAGTTGTCGCCCATCATGCAACTCTGGAAGATAAGAGAGCTCAGTATATGGCCCCGAACGTACAGAAACGTAAGAGGATTAGGAATATCGTTATCGGTGCTTTGGCCGTTCTTCTCGCTCTTGCCGTCGCTCTTGGTGCTTTATACTTTTTCGTCCTTCGGAAACACTCGAGTAATAAGGATAACACTACGTCGGGTGGTGGTTCCGGATCTTCATTGACGGGAGGTAGTCCAACTCGTACGTCTTCTGGTGCAAGTCCTTCCAATACCGTCCGTGTGACGGGTGGTGATGGGAGCGTCGTTACCTTTGAGGATGGGAGCACGATGGTCTACAGGAATTCGTTTGCAGGGACGTGGTATTATGACCCGAACGATCCATTCAACAATAATGCTCAGGCTCAGAGTTGGACACCACCTTTGAATACGACGTTCAAGTTTGGGACGAACAAGATTCGTGGGTGCGTTTTCCATTTGATTATTTGTTGTTGTTGTTGTTGTTTTTCGACGATCACCTTCCATCCAAGCTTCTTTTCTTCTTGCTTCCCATCACTAATTTTATTCTTTTGGTTCTAGTGTCAACCTTGGAGGCTGGCTCAACACCGAACCCTTCATCTCACCCGCTCTCTACGAGAAGTACCTAGACGCGTCGACGCCCGCCATAGATGAATGGACGCTCAGTACGAACATGGCAGCCGATAAGGCCAGTGGCGGTTTAGGTCAATTAGAGAACCACTATGCAACGTTCATTGTACGTTTTTTTCTTTCTCCCTCTGCTGGTTCTTGGGGTGCTTCACCGTTCACCGAAATTGAGGAAGCTGACTTCGATTTGCCTCTTTCTTTCTCGTGTGTCAATTTGGCCGGGTCTCCTTTTTGTTTTGGTTGGCGATTATGACTGGATGATGATACTTGTTTTCAGACCGAGGAGGATTTCGCGCTCATTGCGGCTGCCGGCCTCAACTTTGTTCGGATTCCGTTTCCATACTGGTGAGTTTTTTTTTTTCCCTTCTCTTGCTTTGGTGCTGCAAATCCCAAAACGTCCGTCCGATTCCCGAACATCCGGAGATTGTTCGGTCGGGTGTTGCTCGTTCGAGTCGTGGGAATAGCTGTTGTTGTTTTGATCTTGTACTGCCTCGTTGCTAAAGATACGAGCGTGTGACTGATGCCAAGCCTTTTTTTGCTTTTCCTTTTTGGGGTTTGGTCCGTGGGCGGCTCGTTGGATGGTGTGGTTGCGTGTTGCATGGTGGCGGGGTTTTTTTGCCATAGGGCGATATCGGTCTTCCCAGGTGAACCGTTCTTGGAGGGGACCGCTTGGAAGTAAGTCCCTTTTTTCCCCCTCAACCCTCAACACTTTGTGCGCTGCTTGAGACGGGTTTGTTGACTCTCGGTTTTTCTCTTTCTTGTTTTGTTGGAAAATAGGTACTTTTTGAAGGCGATTCAGTGGGCACGCAAGTATGGGATTCGGATTAATCTCGATTTACACGCCATTCCGGGGTCACAGAATGCGTACGTTTTTTTAAACCCCCTGTCCCCCTCACTTCTTTACGCCATGCTGGACCGTAACACAGGTTTAATCATTCCGGCAAGTTTGGATTGGTTAATTGGTTATATGGAACGATGGGGCTCGCGAATGCGCAGAGGTCGTTGGATATTATAAGGATTCTTGTCGAGTTTATTTCGCAGCTTCAGTATTCGCCTGTAATTCCTGTTTTTGGTTTGGTGCGTTATTTTTGGTTTATTTTATTTTACCATCTTTGGGGTGATTGGGGTGCTGATGACGATGGTGTTTTCTTTTCTAGGTGAATGAACCACTGGCACCGAGTATTGGGATTGATGTCCTTGGAAGTTTGTATGTTGAACCATTTTAATTTTTGGTTTGGGGGAACTCATGAGCATGCGTACTGCTGGATTTCACCTTTTCTTGGTTTTAGCTACCTCCAAGCATATTACATGATTCGAAATATCACTGGTGTTGGGACTGGTAAAGGGCCGTTCATCACCATTCACGATGGTAAGTTTTTTTCATTGTTGTCATTGTCCTGAATGAGTCTTTTTCTCATTCTTCCTTATCTGATTCGTCTTCACTTCTTAGGTTTCCTCCCCATAAACGGTTGGTATGGCTTCTTGTCCGGTGCCGACCGTATCATGCTCGATACACATCCGTATTTGTGTTTCCAAGCGTTGGACCCTTCTCCACCTTCACAGCAGGCTGGGAGACCCTGTGGTGCGTGGGCAGGCAGGATCAACCAGACGATGCAGAACTTTGGGATGGTTAATGCCGGGGAGTGGTCTTTGGGGTACACAGATTGTGGGTTCTTTTTCCTTGTCGTGCCTCCTTTCCCGCTTGCTGACAAGTCTCGGGATTGGAATTGATGTGTTTTAGGCGGCCTCTTCCTGAATGGTGTTGGACTTGGGACGCGGTATGAAGGGAATCTCTCGACATTCCCAAGTACTCGCATTGGGAGCTGTGCACCTGTGCTTGATTGGGAGAATTATAATCAGTCGACGAAGTCTGGGTTAATGGCGTTTGGTTTGGCTCAGATGGATGTCTTGCAAAACTGGTTCTTCTGGACGTGGAAGATTGGCAACTCTTCTGTTTCTGGTACGGTTGCTTTATGGAAATTTTTGGGGGTAGTGGGTTCTGAGGGTTCTTTTTCATCTATTAGGTCGGGTTGAGTCGCCCCATTGGAGTTATCGTCTTGGTTGGGAGAACGGCTGGTTACCAAAGGATCCTCGATCCGCTAGCGGAGTGTGCGCTTCGCAGGGAGTGACTACGCTATGGACGCCACCACTTGCAGCTTGGCAAACAGGAGGTCAAGGTGCAGGGACTATTGCAGCTGGCCAACTACAAACCTATGGTGCTTGGCCGCCAACGACCATGTCCCCGAGCGTCAACAACGTCCAGGCGTTGCCGCAGTACACGCCTACGGGTTCGTTGCCCACGTTACCCGTTCCGACGTTCACTGGGTCTGTGGCATCCACCGTCAGTCCTGGGGATGGATGGTATGATTCAAGCGATACCGTCGGGTATTACACTTCTATCCAGGGGTGTAGTTATCCTAATGGATGGAGTGCTGTAAGTGCGCCGATACCGACGGGGTGTGGAGGGTCGGCGAGAAAACGGAATGGTGGACAAGTCGTTGCTGCCGCTGCTGCCGGGCCGCCTTGGGCTACTATCACACCATCCCCACGCTTACGATAGCGATTTGATCTCTTGGGGGAGTGCGGGAGTGGACGTCTCTTCCATTCCACTTGCACGGCAGCCGGGTCTCCATCTGTTGAGTGGTTTAAATCCTCCCATTCCACTTTATATTTCCCCCAGCCGATTTATTATCTCCATGGGGCAACAATAATATACATAATACAACGCGCTTGCTGCCATCAAGACGTGTCATAATCAATACTCGTTTCTGGTCTTACGAGTAACACGAGTTCATCTCTCTCTTGGTCTTCGTGGGTTTGTCTTCTCGTTTCCTTTCATTAGTGTTTCATTCCTTCTTTACCTCCCGACCTTTCTCTTTTCTGCCTTGTTCGCATCCTAACCGACTTCATAAGTCCACACCCACACACACACAAGTGCCGAAATCAAAAGGTTTGGCAACCTTCATGGACATTACCCTCTGCATGCTGTCTTCCGAATCGCTTTCCTCTTCCTGCAGCCCCACACTTAGTTCGAGAGGCAAAACTCTTTGTGATCTGAGTCCCTTGTTCTCCACTTCTATCTTTGTTTTGGCTATAGGTGTATGGTTGATTACACATGGGTAATGGCAGAAAACCTATCAACACCCGTTATTGTGGTATTGTGTGTTTGTTCGGGCAAGAACGAACTCTCTTTCAGGACCTTTTATGATGTTCTTGGATGATCAAGTTAAATGCAGCAGGCATATTCCCATTGCAAAACAACTGGACTTACAATCGACTTGTGTTGTGTTTATCGCTGTGGTCGCACGTCTTGTTAAGAGGAATTCTCTAGCTTAGGTGGATTGGCCATGCAGGAGGCACGGGATGTGAACCCGCCCTCAGTCAGACGCCGCGAGGAACAACCTGCCTGCTTATCTCATTGAGGGGGAGATAGCTGTTAATGCTCTAAGTGAAAGATCGAGCGTTCTCCCCGCATCGGTAGATGAAAAGACAAGCAATTTCGGTACATGTTCATTTGATGCTGTCCACATGCACAGCTGGCGCGCTACCACGAAGCTCCATTACTCAGTTAGTTCCATTCATGATATGGGTCTCAGTAAATTGGCGGTCCATCGACTGCATGGCAGAAATGGAGTGGCCAACTTTCGAGATGGTCACAAATATACTTGACAGTGTCGTTCCAAGTAGTGTAGCCTCTCCTGTTGAAGTGATGCCTTTTTCTCATTTTCTTCATCCCGGCCTTTCTGTCTCCCGCCTTAACAACTGACTTCATACGTGGCCTTATCACCCAATGATTTGAATTGAGCAGTGTTTATTTATCTCATCCCCGACCTCTTGGGTACCTTGAAATGCCATCGCATCATCAATTCTGTCCAGCATGAAAGCAGAAAACAACCTTTGGGTCATCTACAAATACTGTGCAAGTTACAGCGATGACGAGACTGGGGATTGTAGATACACGATACATACACACATGACGGATTTAATTCACTGTGCATAATTGAACAACCAGTCAGTAGCTGGACACCCATCCCTTAAGTGCTCCAGAGGTCGCATATGTCCGGCCGCAATATTTAGAGGCAGTAATTGAGGCTTGACAGCCTCGAGCAAGTTTCCAAAATCCGACGCAATTCTTGCCTCACCAAGTATGGGGTAGGTCTCGAGGTCTGCACCTCGAACGGTGATCAGGTAGCGGTTGTAATGCTCCTTCTCTAGTTGCCTGCCTTCAACTTCTGCCTTCAGTTTTTTCAGCACTGTTTTGTCTCGTGGATACTGCATTTGGTGTTGGGAAAGTTTCTGGAAGGCTTCCTCATGCTCTTTCGTCAGCCTTTCGTAATCGGCATGTGTGACAGAGTTGGGAGGAGTGATCTTGATCCTGCCATTGATCACGTCCGATGAGGCTTTGTGGTGAACAGTGGTACCGAGCTCCATCAGGAGGGCAAGATAAGGGAGAGGGTCATTTGGATCACGAACAATCCCGGCTGGTCGCATCTTTCTTTGGGCATTGACATCTCCTTCATCTTTGAACTTGACCTGAACCACAAGTCCCGAAAGCTGGTCAGGGTCAAAAATCGTGTCTGGCTCGACAGAACCAAAGTAAATGGGGCATAGGAAATCGATCGAGACTTGATTGAAGCAACACTGCAATATGGCTCCCCGGGCCCATAAGTTGGAAAGTAATTTCCTAGGGGGGTAAGCAAACACATGGACCGGCACGCAAGGAACTATGTACCGAGTAGGCTTTTCCGGTAAGGCATCTCTTGTAAGGATCCAATGTGTGAAATTGACATATGTATCATCGAAAGCAGCTTTCACACCGCTACGATCCCACGGGAGCTTACCGAGGAGTTTTTCGAGGACTTCTAACAACCGAACGGGTTTTAGGAGATCGGGACCCGTTTTACCAATTGGGGCTGCGTAGTCGCGTGCAACAAGGAGTAGAAACCGGGCGGCAAGTTCGCCCATAAGTCCCTTTTCTATTAAACCTGCGGAGAACAACTTTAAATTTAATGTCCCAAGGATAGCGGCCAATCTGTTGGGTTCTTTGTCAGGCTCGTACATTAAGGAAGCAGCACCCAACGCTAGAAGCGGTTCCGACGGCGAATCGGTGCGAGATATCGCACCACCAAACAAGAAGCCTGTAAGAAGTCTCATGTGGTGGGCAACGCTGTTATCGGCTAGTTCAACCGCCCTGGCATTCGATAGGACAGGATCGAGACAAAGCCGCTGAGAAAGCACGGCGAATACATGATGGGGATCAGTTGCCTCAAAATCCTGGAATTCGGTGAGCTTTGAGGCCGCGAGCTCTGTGGCAGCGGTAATATTCTCATGGCTCTGTGCATGCCACCTGGGAATGCGAGTGTGAAGTCGATCCCATATTTTGGAAGAAAGAACATACAAGGGGCGCCCATATTGGGCAAGATGCTTGATCGTACCAAAATCACTCATTTTGACGGGTCCTGGAGCCTTAGTGTTCTCGATGGCCCGCTGATCAAAGTCCAGTACAAAGTAGGGAAGCTCCAGGCGAAATGATTGGTTCCTGAGTCTTGCAGAAATCACTATATGCAATAGTCAGGCACGGCTAGCTAGCTGTGTGAATACGCACTATTTTTTGGGGAAGGACTGTAATACGACATGGATGATTTCGTTCCCAAAAACACATACCACATTTTTTGGGATCGATCATGAGCATTCAATAACCGCAACATAATCCAGAAACATATATCCAGTTCATGAGCCTCGTCAAAGTATGTCACGCATATGTCATCGGTAAGGGTTTCAATGAACGTCATGAGGTCCTTGAACGCCTTTTTTACGTGCTGGTCATATTGGTCCTTGGCCACATCAGTTGCCTTGCCTGGGCCCTTGTTATCGCCATCGGGCTTCGGACTATTTCCTGGAGATATCTTTTGTAGATGGGCCACCCATCAGTCGGAGCAGAAAAGGCAAGATCAGAAATTTACCTTCTCTGCCTTGTTATCGCCATCGGGCTTTGGACTGTTTCCTGTTCGTGGCTGAGCCGCCCATTAGTTGGAGCAGAAAGGACAAAAACAGAGATTTACCTTCCCTGCCCTGTTAGCGCTATTGCGCTGTGGACTTCCTCCTTGTACTATCTTCTCTATCTGAACCACTCATTAGTTGGAGCAGAAAGGAGAAAACAGAGATTTACCTTCTCTGCCCGTTCCACCACATCTTGAAAAAAAACCACACGATCACCACGTGAACTGTCCTTCTCCATCATCCGGTACCACTTTTCACGAATCTTTTCAACATCTTTACCCACTTCCTGCTGTATGTCCCGGAGCCTGGATAGCATAGTTTCATACGCAGCAGCAAGGAAACAGGCGATGCCTGAAAGCGTGCTGAGGCTCAGATCATTCCCACCACACTTGGACCTAAGGTTGTGGAAGTAGAGAAACGCGGCCTCGTCTGATAAGGGATATCCGGGATCGTTTGGGTTACGAAGACACACGGGGAGGGTGAAGACTTTCGCGCCAACCTGGATCAAATATGATGATATTTCATGCCACGACCAAGGAATAACACACCTCGGTGAGCATCCGCGACTTCCCAGTCCCGGAGCTTTGAACTACCGAAATGGCGTTGCAATAAAGGGTACCTTTCACTCTTTTGTCGGTCTGGGTGAGGTGCTGAACGAAATTGTCAGGAGCAGCTCCCACAAATGGTGAACGGTATGCCTCAGCAAGCTCTGATACAGCGAATGAGAACAATGGAGGAGGTAATAACTCCCGAACCTACCCTCCGCACTGACGACTCTGTAGCAAAAATACATAAGCACAGCACAAAGGCGACGTTGAACAAGCGTACTGATGACGGTCCCGAGTATCCCTTTCAGCTTCTCTTGCGGAGCGTGCCCTCCCTATACCACGGATTAGTGGCAGCCTGATCCTTAAATCCGGGTTGGTACACACAATTCGCAATTAGGGAGGTCCAATCGCCGCTTTTGATTCCTGTCCTAATCCAATCCCTCCATCGGCTGCGGTCACCAGCGCTGAGCTTGTTCACGATCGACTCGGCGTTGCCGAGGCCCTGAATGCGCTCTTCCATGTCTGTATGATCCAACAGGGTCAAAAGATTCCCAAGAACGCTGTGCATGATTCTCGGCCAACGGCGCTCATCTGCCTCCGCAGTAGATAGGCCAACAGGCCAGTCCAAGAGGGTAGCCAAGCCATTCATGCGCGACTGAAGCGCCTCCAGTTGGTTGTCGGAGAGGTCCGGGGGCGCGTCAATGTCCATCCTGTCATCAAGCATTGCTGGCTTTCGATGCAGAATGTGTGCGGTGAGACAATAAAACAATTCAATCGGCCAACTCCGCTACAATAGCCAGCCAATTATTCCCGCTACTCTGTAGCGGGTCTTGAATGCGTAAACTGAATGCCCGTGCAAGAGGTCCTGTATTATTGCAAATTCCCTTGCTATCCAGGGTCCTTATCTTGATTTGTAAGCCAACTTTCCGCATTTATTTTGTAACTCTTCTCGCTCTAAAAGCTCCCCTCCCCAATAACTTCACCTGCCCTTCATGCCATGTTCCTTACCCATTCTCTCTTTCACAGCCTTATTCGACATTTCGCTAATGTCTGTGGCCAATGATGTCATCACCCATTGCACGGTCATTAGCGGACTCAGTGCCCACGAGGTTTTGAGCTGTGAAACAGATGAGCTTATGTGTGAGCCTCCTGTTCTTTCGCGCCAACTTGTGCTAATAAACATTGCATTGCTGGTTCGGGAGGTTGTGTACGATTCACAGACGGACTCATGCATGGATTTTTTTGGGGTTATGTTCCCTGGGCGCTTATGTTACTTGTGGATTGTCTACCAAAGTCCAAAAGCAAAGCGTAGTACCCTGCCCGTCAGTGTAGGTCCCAATCAGGGAGGGCCATAGTTCCTGGAAGCCGGGCGGATTCTTACCAATAATGCATGATAATGTCGCGCTCCCCAGGCTTGAGGCACTTCGAACACAGGCCATCTTGGGAAGGACGCACTGCAGTTTGAGTCTTTAAACAATCCTCATGAAGAAGGCATCCTGTTGCGCATTCAAACCCACCTCGAGTTAAACCAATCAGGGCCCGGCCCTGAACGGATTCGCTCACGCAGTCACCATGGATGACACTCAATTTTCATCCCCAACGCTACTCTTGTTGTTTCGAATCAGGCTGAGGGCCTTGGGAGTTGTCTTGTTGCAAATGCATGAATTCGCACGTACACGGGTAGAGCACTTGTTCAAGAGGAGGTACCAATGTACCACAGCGTGCAGTGACACAAGTTTGGCTAACCGCCCCACTGCTGAAAGAGAAGAAAGGCCAGGGGAATTTTCAGGGCGATTTGGGACAGCACTGTAACTCACAATGCTGAATTCAATCTGGCCTTCCTCCATGGACGTCAGATGAGAGAACCGATAAGAGTAGCGGGTAATGCCGCAACAGGTGGCGTCTGTCAGTTATTTTTTTTTGTGGAACCTTCTACAGCTTTCGCAACAGTTTCCTGCTTGAAAGTTTATGGTGGGAGGGTCTTCCGCCTCCTGGACAAAAGGTCTGCTTCACCTATTACTCATCATGGGATCAATAGTCAGGGGGGGTTCCGATACCTCCTTAGATACCAAACCACCTTTTCCGAGCATGCTCTGCGTGCTCTCAGAATCCTAGCCATATATAGATACTTCATACACTCTCAATATGGAATCACCTGTGCTCCGAATGACTGCAAAGCCACCACACGAATAAATTGATTTCCTAAGTTGGACTGAGACCCTACAACATCCCACACTTGTACTAGCTTACATCTCATGACCTCACCATCGCGTCTGTGCATGCGACCTCAGTCTCAAGTGTCATCACTGACACTACATTGTTCGACTTTCAGCCTGTTGTCTTTTTTTTGGTTTCCTCTTCCTTTGCATAGTAAATATACGGCACTATGTGATATGATATTAACAGTCAATATATACTTATATATTGAGAAGCAAGTTTTTCGTGCCCCATAAAGACTGCTACTGTGCCCTGTGATCTATATGCTTGCCATGCATATCCCATGTCTAACAGTTCAGAGGGCACCTAGTCAATCAATCAATGCAGGAGCATCTTGAAGGTGAATGGCTTTGTGCTTACATCTATCACAATCACAAAGTACTCAGAAGTTGCCAGCCACGTGTCTGTTTGGACACCGCTTACCCACTCATAGCACTGGCAGCCCTTCCTGAGGACTGTGAGACAAGGGCTGGGTTGGCTGCCACTGTGGATTGGCTGCTGGTCGTACTTAAAGACCATATATCAGATCAACGCATCTGAGATAACTGGATGACCTACATGTCTGCCATGGACATGCCGCTGTTGTTCTCACTCATAAGGCTGTGTTGACAATGAGAGTTGCAGGCCAAAGAGTAATGAAACCAGCATACCTGCGAGTTTGCTGATGGTTGATTGTGCATTCCACTTTATCCCTTGTGAACTTGCATACTTCTTGCCAGGTGCCTTCAACATCTTCATCAGACACTGTTACCCAGTTGACAGACCCACACTCCCAGCCCTTGATCAATTTTAGCAGTTCCAGCTTTCGAAGCCACTTTGGTGCTTTAATCTCATCGAATGGGTATGCAGATTCACTGATCTTAAGCTTATACTGAATTATCAGACAAAGATAACCTTCTCTTTCCCATCTCATTCTAAGGAATCGGTCCTTTGTCGCACTACCTGGTAAATCTCATAAGTGTCAAGTTTGTGTCAGGGGACGACTCCCGGGTCCCCATGACCCTCCCCTATGGCCCACAGCCTCAAGTCTGGCCAGCCCTATCCAGGGCACAATCCTACTGTGGGTCAGAGATGAGAAGGAAGTTAACTTCTCATCTTCCCACAGTGGCCACCATAGATTGAAAACTTCCAGAGATATCCAGAAGTCACATGAGACCCAAGACCCGAGGTCCAGGCCATCCGGCCACATGTGCAGGAAGTGCAACAGCTGGGTGCAGGCACGGTGAAGGAGAGAACGAAGGAAGGTCAGTTGGGAGGTTCAAACGAGACCACCACCAAGCTGTTCCCTGGTTCTTTAGTTAGGATGGGGAAGTGTACTAGTGTTATTTATTGTAAATAAAGTACCAATCCGAGTGTTTTGGCTAATTCTATTTTTATGGGTTAGTTTTAAAGTTCCTGGGAATTGACTTACAGATAAACCGAGCCCTGCGGAGCTGTTTCTTTATTGAAATTTATTAATTTGTCTAGGTGTAATTCTGTGTAGCGTTGTTTAATTTGGATTTAAACTTGAATTTAATCTTCTACTTGGTGAAGTTTCAAAGATTCTATTCAGTTAATGAATTTGGATGGTGTCTGGAGTGTCCCTTGAGTTCGTTTTATTTTTGTCTTTATTTTATCGCTTGTTTTAACAGTAGCAAAATAACTGTTTTGTGTTTACACTTTGAAATCTGGAGTGTTAACCAGCTCTCCTGTTGAAATATCTACTTAATATTTCTCTCCTTAATTGCTGCCTTTTACTACAGTGGCAATCTTAACTGTATATCACTTTTTCGCACTGGAGTGACAACCAGAAATGCTTGAGAAAAATAATACTCTATTTTCTTACTTCTCTGAGGGGGGCGAAAAGTCGCAGAAAGGGTCTCCCTTTTATACTCCTTGGGTCGCCTTCCTTTTTCACGCTCTACCTTCTATTTACAGGATTTATTTACAGTGTATTTTTCTCAAACTGAATAAAAATGAAATTTTCATGCTATAGTTCTACTGTGCTTTTGCTGCGCTGAACTGCGGTTCTACTGCGGTCAGACTGCGCCTAGAATTCTTATTGTCCTCCCTCGCCTAAGCTATTTTAATGGTTAATTAGAACTTGGCTGCGCTGCATTTGCCGCAGTTACCTATTTCAAATTCTATATATATACCATTAAATTTGCTATGACTCGATGACTCTGAATTCAAACTTCGCATTACTATGCGTACGGCTGTGCTGAGACCTTCAGCTGATTTATTCCATTTTTATTTAGTGACATTTAGTTAAAATGAGACTGAAATGGTAAATGAGTGAATTATTCAGGTTTGAAACTGAAAGAAAAAGTTGCTAGTAGTCAAGAATTACTCAAACGAATGTGTTATAGCTCTCCACCTCATTAGAATATCGTTCCCTAAAATTCCCGCCATGGTCCATCGTAGTTTAGTGGTTTTCGTGAATTTTGTTCATATTCTCTGATTTCCTTTTGTATTATCACATCCTAATCCTCCATATGTATCGTTGGTTGTTATAGTAGGTTGTCCTTGAAGATATCATATTTTTATCTATTTTATTTAGGACTCTGGACCTCTTGAAGCTGTTTTCCCGCGCATTTTCAGGTTTCTAACTTCATGTCCTTGTATCTCATTCATTTCTGGATGTTTTCTCACGTTCTTAGTATCATAAATTTTCATTTATTCCCACCTTTCCAATGGTACTAATATTGTGTCCTATTTCCTGGTATTCGTTGAGTTAGCAAAGATTCACGCGCACATTTGGTAATCACGTGCGTCGTTCGTATGCGGGAGCCGTTTTCGTTTATTTGTTCGGGATTTATGATATGCGCGGGTGTTTATTTCTTTCATATGGGCTTCTGTGATTTATTTCAGATTTTTCCCTCATGATCTAAGGTTGTTTTGCACTTTCCGTGCTTTGTTTTGACCGGGCTCTTCCTTATTTGGACGGAAATTGGTCTTCGCGATCTGCTGAAGTGCGGATCTCGGTTCCGACGGCCGGTTCCCTGCGCATCGCCACCCTCACGTGTCATTACACATGATGCGGATTCCTATATTCCCATCATGGGTATAACTTCACAACGGCTGGACCGTTTGGGCTGAGAATTTGCATAACTATAGTTTCCTATTTTTCATAATTTCCGTGTAAATTTCGTTGTATGTTTTAATTATGGATCCTACGCAATCATTGTCTTGTCCCTGAGCTCGGACTTTTGATGTCGCTATTCCCGTTATTGGATTTCTCATTAACGCATGATCCTTTTATTATGAAAATTTGGGAGGATTAAGAGTAGATCCTTTCCTTTCTAATGGGCTATCAAGCTTGTCTCGGTCGTTACTAGTTAATCTTCGCGCTTGCTTTTTAGACATTGTCCTCGTTTTGCAGGAGTTTTAGTCATATCTCCGTCGTTTATGGGTAGTTTCCCCTGTAATTACTCTCATTGGTTCCGTTTGGGTGACATCTACATTTCCTATTATAAACACGACTTTGACTTTTGCATTAGTTCCTGAGGAATCTTTGTTCCGTGGTACTTCCATCCTTGCTACGTGTGCGGACGTGGGAAAGTAGTTTCCGTGGAGGTTCTCTGATTATTTTTATAGTCAAATCTTGGTCGATTGTCCTAACTCTTGGTTTAATATTTGCTATAAATTCCCCTGAGAATTCCGTCTCGTTGATGGTAAGCTTGAAGTATTTTTGTTATTTTTCTTTCTTTCGATTTATCGTGTATAGTCATAATAATTCGTAAAAATTCGTAAAATTCGTTACAATTCAGGTCCTTCTATGTTCTCATATCTACTTGTCGTATGAGGTTTTGTGATTTATCTGGCATATTTCCATAATGGGTTTCCATAGTGTGGCCGTTATTTCTCCTACAACGGGCATGAACTTGTCGCCTCTGTGACAACGGCAGTGACAGTGGGGACTCCTTCAGGTATGGGGACCCCAATGATTGGTTGACCCGTTTGATTAACAGGGACTACAGGGACCTCTTGGGGTGCCTGCGCCTCAACAGCGGGTTTTTTCGTCTGCTCAGAGACGACGATAGGGTCCCCACCCGTTGCTGGGTTCACAGGAGGGTTTGCAGGTGGGTTATCCACCGTTGCTGCAGGTGGCTTTGGCTCATCGCATCGAGAGAGCGCGAGGAGAATTTCGTTTAATTTCTCATTAAGTCTTTCTTCTACCTTAATGATGTTACGATCTAAACGAGCAATGTTATTGCTATTCCCAGAGATTTGGGTATTCATGTTACAGACATCGCCCCTCAAGTCAGCGATGTTGTTGTCGACTTGGTCGACGCGATTTCTTAGTACTCGCGCTG